GTGCCCCCCAAGCGTCGCCCCCATATGTCGCCCCCGTGCGTCGTCCCCACTCCAAGAGCTTCAATATGCTGAGCAGGCGCCGTAAGGATTGCAAGGTGGTCAGCCTAGACGGTTGGGCGCCGGCGGCCTTTAACTCGTCGTGCTCAGAAAGCCACACGCGCAGCGCATGCTGCAGCATGCCCTTATCTGCCCCCCCTGCTGTGGGATCGAATGTCAGGCCATTCACGGGACACCTCCGCCAGGGACTCGCCCATGCAGCATGTCAAAAACGTGTGGACGTTTGTCCTGCTGTCGTCGGCTGTGTCGCGCGATGCCTGTGTTTTGGGTCTGGTTGTGTGCGGCTGGGCTGTTTGGCAGTTGGTTGGGGTCACTGGAGGCGGCTGCGCCACTCTTCTGGCTGGGTGAGACAACTCGCCTCGACCGTCCGAGGGGGCACGAGCCACGAGGGAATCCGAAGCGACAGGGATGCGCGAATATCCACTGAAGTCCCACTAGCCCTCTGGGCGTAGGTGATTTGACGGACTGTTGCTATCTATCTTTCCACAGCCCCTCAATATGAAGGCGGATGTAGCACTGCATGCTTCTACGTCCATTCCATATTTCCTCCCTTCCTTCCTTCATGCCTGCTTCCTACTTCCCCTCCATGTTCACCTCATGATTCCTTCTCTCTGTGCCTCCTCCACCCCCTTGTTTCCCATCCATGCTCATAATCACAGGTACTCCTCACTGTGCATATTCACTCCTCAACATTATCCTCCTCGTCTTCCCCCGCCTCCTCAACAGGCTCCTCCAGCTCTACCATGACCTCCTCCTCCTCCTCCTCCTCTTCCTCCTCTGCTTCTCTCTTCTGCTTCCAAGACGAATGTGTTCAGAGAACCCACGGGCTGCAAACAACCGAACATCCGAGAGCATACCTTGTTGGAGAGGGTTCGATTCACGAAATGCCCTCTACAGCACAAGCTAGCCGCCACGGCATGAGAGCATGTTTTGCATGACTCAAGACAGGTTCCCGAACCTTGATGCGTGTTCAGGCACGACCTTGATCATGTCAGCGCGCCTGCGCATTATTCTGGCTGCGGTCGGTGTTCCACCGCTCCTCATGGGCGGCCATTTGGCTGTGCACTCATGCTCCTCCTGGGCCAAAAAAGAAGTATTGGGCGCTTTGCTTCTCGCCGCCCCTCATGAAGCCGCCGCGTTCGACGGACAGCTGTTAAGTGAGTCGGAAAATGTTCCCGCCGGTTCTGCGACCCCGACACGCTTCCAAGGCGGCTGATCACTGCATGCTTCTACGTCCATTCCTTATGTCCTCAATTTCTTCTTTCTGCTTCCTCCTTCCCCTCCATGTTGACAGCATGCCTCCTTCTATATGTTCATCCTCTTCCCCCCGCTCCCCATCCCCGTTCCTCATCCCTGTTTTCCTCCCTGCTCGCCCTTACTCCTCGCCCCCCTCCATGGCAGCCACAAGCCCACCAGCCCTGGGGGCGTAGGTGTTTTTGTTAACAAGTTGTGCCTTCTCTCTGTCGAAAACCCTCATTCCCCTGCTCGGGGGAAAGGCTCATCCCTCCCCATGTCCCCTCCCCTAGGCCTGAGACGGGGGGGAGGGGGGGCGCGACCGAATGGATCGCACAAGATGGTCTGGGACGCCTCCCTGAGAGCCCAAGATGGCCTCCAAGATGGCCCAAGACAGCCGCACATGGTTCAAGATAGCATCCGACACCCCTAAGAGGCCCCAAGACAACCCCATGACGGTTCAAAGTGCCTCGCGGCCTTCGTAGGCAGTCCCCATGAGGCCAACAGTCTTACAACAGCTTAGGGAACCAGGTGGTTTGCCCTCTCGCGCGTTCGTTCGCTTCTGATGGGCGTTTGAGGCCTCAGAATGGCCCCAAGACGGCCCCAGAGAGCCCCAAGAGGGGCCCAGGATGGCTTCAACGGGGGCCCAAAAGCGCCCAAGAACGCTCCAAAAGCGGCCCCAGGGGGCCCAAAGATGCCATGCTTGAGTCTCCGAGAGGGGACCTGACTTGAGGATCCCCATCTTTTTGAGCCATGGGGCCCAAGAGGCCTCCCAGACCCCTCCAGTGAGCCCCAAGAGGGCCCCAGGAGTGCCCTCTAAAGGCCCCGCAAGGATCCTGAGAGAGGCCCTCAGATGGGTTTAGTCGTCCTTCAAAAACCTCTCACAACAACATCTTTCCAAAGCCCGACTTCCAATCCTCCTTGTCATCGTGCGTTCCTACCCTCCTCCTTTCCTGCTTCCCTCCTCCTCCTCCTCCTTTTCCTCCTCCTGCTCCTCTTCCTCCTCATCATCTTCATCGTGCCGCATTCCTCCCCCTCCTCCTCCTCTTCCTCTTCTTCCCCCTGCTCCTCCTTCTCTATTCCTTTTCCTCCCCTCTCATCCTCCATTTATCTTCCTATTGTTTTTCCTCCTCCTCCTTTTCCTGCTCATCCTCCTCCTCTTCCGCATGCTCCTCCTCCTCGTCCTCCTCTTTGTTCCGCCTCCTACCCCCAAGGTGGTCCCAGAAGTCGAGCATGTCTCAAGATAGCCTCCGACATACCTCCAAGAGCCCTCAAGACAACCTCCAGATGCCCCAAGAAAGCTGAACACGGCTCAGGATAGCCTCCGAAAAACTTCAGGCCGAACGTGGCTCGAGGTAGCCTCTAAAAGGCCTCGAGAAATCATCCGCTCGTGTCTGGATGGGTTGGTGGGGATACTTTTTGGTGAGCGGCCTCGTGAACCGGGTCAAAACGCGTCCAAACTCTAGCCGGGCCACGATTAGGCGGCAGAAGCGGGAAGCGGAAAAACAAGCGAAACGAGCGCGCGGGCAGCCACTCAGAAGTGCACCAGGAGCGGCAGTCCCAACCCGGTGGCGTGGAAATCCCGGTGGCGACCGTCAAATAGGCGCAGCCAAAATGCCGCGGCGGCACGACCATGAACACGCAGAGGTCGACCACCCGTTGTGAGTTCGCAAAGGTCCCGACGAAAACGAGCAAGTCCGACAGGCACTTCAGGGCGACATCCGTGCCGTAGGTGGCACAACAGCATCGTGTCGGCGCCGGAGAGAAGAGGGGGCAGCCTCGTCACAGACAGGACTGCAAACGGCAGATCATCTGGTATTTCCTCCTGGCGGCACAGGTCGAAAGCGAAGTCTATGCAGGAGAAAGCAGCCGACGGGCGCCCATGGCCACACATGCCGAAATCCTTGCACGGAAGAGGACGGCACCGTTGCAAGTCTCCACGGAACCCAAACGGTCACCAGTGGAGGCTGACACAAGCAGGAGCAGGCCAGGGGCCACCTGGCCGCCCATCCCCGGCGTGGTCATGCATGGAATTCGAAGCGAGACCTCACGGAACCCCCCCACTCGCCAGCGGAGGCCAACACCAGACAGGAGCAGGTCAGGGGCCACCTGACCGTCCGTACCCAGCGTGAACCTCGCATGGAATTCAGGCTGTCAGAACACCAAGGGACAGCAGCATTGGCGGCGGCCCCGGCCGCGTGGGATAAACCCGGTGAAACGAGGGATATGAGGGGAAGTGCACGCCGGGCACGGTAGGCAGACCGCTGCGGCAGCTAACCGCTACGGCTATAGGAAGCGGGAGACACGAGCACCGGAGCGCACTGAACCCTTTCGGCCATCAGCAGAGGGGGGCGCTGGCTGAAGGCAGCCAGTAGGAATTGCACCACCCAGCCCCAATTAATACATAGTCCATCAGACAGCGGCATGGGCGGCAACCCTGGCCGCTCGCGGAACCCTTTGGAATTCGAGGCGGCTGGGTGTTCCCAGAGGTCGTGCTGCCAGTGGTTTGTGTCGGGCGGCCAGCAAGGTTCTCTCTGTCTTCTCAGCCCGTCACCATGCAACGCGCAACCACCATCACACTCCCCCCGGTGGAAGCGACTGACCGTCGCAGAGGCTATTGGAGACCGAGGAGGCTGGGCGTTCCCAGAGGTCGCGTTGCAAGTGGATTGTGTTGGACGATCGGCACGGTCCTCTCTGTCTTCTCCCTGCCCCTTCTCCTGTGGTTCGCGACCCATTTCGCCATCTTCCCGGCGCAGTTGAACGACCGCCGCGGAGTCTGTTGGAATCCGAGGCGGCCGGGCGTTCCCAGGGGTCGCGTTGCCAGCGGGTTGAGTTGGGCGATCGGCCAAATCCTCTCTGTCTTTCCCCTGCCCCCCACCCAGCGACCCGCGACTATCGTCACGTACTTCCCGGTGGCGGCGAATGACCGTCGCAGAGTCCGTTGGCATCCGAGGCGGTCGGGCGTGCCAAGGGGTCGCGTTGCCAGCGGGTTGCGCGGGGCGGTCGGCAAGGTCCTCCCAGGCTTCTTCTGCTCCTCCTCCTCCGGCGACTGGCGACCATCTTCGCGCTCTTCCCGGAGGAGGCGGCACATTTCGCGACCCCCCCGGCGGAGGCGACAAACTGTCGCAGGAGGAGAATGCTAGAAAAGTGGGTTGTGTTGGACGGTTAGCAGGTTCTCTCAGTCGCCACCCTGCCCCACACCCTGCGACACGCGACTATATTCGCACTCTTCCCTGTGGAAGCGACTGACCGCCGCAGAGGCCATTCAAAACCGAGGCGGCTGGGCGTTCCCACCCGTGCTGCACGTCGCCGGCGCGCTGCAAGCTAGCCCCGCTGGTCCCCGTTGCCATGCTGCGCGTCACGGTGCTGTCCCCCGTGGTACACGTCAGACTGGTGCTTAAGCTGTTCGACTCGCTCGTGCTGGTCAAACTGGTGCTGCTAGATTCTGTTGTGCTTGAGTCGGTCGTGCTCGATAGTGAGATGATACTCGATTCCGATGAGCGGTCAGCGAAGTGCTGCTTGATTATGTCGTTGTAGTCAGCGATGTAGTGCGCGACTCAGTAGCGCTGCGCTGTGTGGCATTGCTTGGTTCTGTCGCGGCGCTGAGCGCCGCGCTGATCGATTCCGCGGCGCTCGAGGCGGTCGTGCTGGACACGGAGGTGCTGTTCGACCCTGTGGTGCTCGATTGAGTAGTGCTGGTCAGCACGGCAATGCCTGACTCTGCGGCACTGGACCCCGCGGTGCTTGACTCAGTAGCGCTTGTCAGCAACGTGCTGCTCGACTCCGCGTTGCCCGACTCAGCCGCGCTGGTCAGCGACGCGCTGCTCGACTCTGTGGCACTTGAGCCACTCGTGCTGGTCAGCGACGTACTGCTCGACTCCGTAGTGGACGACTCGGACGTCCTGGGCAGCGACGCGCTGCTCGATCCCGCGGTGCTCGACGCTGTCGCGCTGGCCAACGACGCGCTGCTGGACTCTGTGGTACTGGAGCCGGTCGTGCTGAACAACGAGGTACTGCTCGACTCTGAAGTACTGGAGCCAGTCGTACTGGTCTCGTTGTGCTGAACAGCGAGGTGCTGCTCGACTCCATGGTACTTGAGCCAGTCGTACTGGTCCCGGTCGTGCTGGTGAACGACGCACTGCTCGACTCTGTGGTACTTGAGCCAGCCGCGCTGATCAGCGACGTGCTGCGCGACTCTGTGGTTCTGGAGCCAGTCGACTGGTCTCGGTCGCGCTGGTCAGCGAAGTACTGCACGACTCTGTGGTATTTGAGCCAGTTGCACAGGTCTCGGTCGAGCTTGTCGGCGAGGTGCTGCTCGACTTTGTGTCGCGCGAACCCGCAGCGCTGGACTCGGTGGCGCTCGTCAGCGAGGTACTGCACGACAACGTGCTGCTCGACTACGTGGCACTTGAGCCGGTTGTGCTGGTCAGCGAGGTGCTGCTCGCATCTGAGGCGCACGACCTTGTAGAGCTCGACTCGGTCGCGCTTGTCAGCGACGCGCTGCACGACTCTGCGACACTTGAGCCAGTAATGCTGCTCACGGTCGTGCCTGTCAGCGCCGTGCTGCACGACTCAGCGGCGCTCGATCCCGCGGCGCTCGACGTGGTCGCGGTGTTCAGCGACACCCCGCGCGCCGACGTGCTGCTCGACTCTGCGGTACTAAAGCCGGTCGTACTGATCAGGCATTTGCTGCGCGACTCTGTGGTTATTGAGCCTGACGCGCTGGTCTCGGGCACGCTGGTTAGCGACGTGCTGCGCGACTCTGTGGCACTTGAAGGTCGTACTGGTCTCGATCGCGCAGGCCAGCGCGGCGCTGCTCGACTCAGTGGCGTTCGACCCCGCGGTGCTCGACTCGGTCGCGCTGGCCAGCGACGCGCTGCACAGCGCGGCGCTGCTTGATTCTGTGGTACTTGAGCCGGTCGCGGTCGCAATGGTCAGCGAGGTGCAGCTCGACTCTGCGGTAATTGAGCCTGCAGCGCTGGTCTCGGTCGCTCTTGTCAGCGACGTGCTGCTCGACTCTGCGATACTTGAGCCCGTCATACTAGTCTCGGTCGCGCTGGCCAGCGCGGCGCGGCTCGACCCCGCGGTGCTCAATCCCGTTGGGCGCGACTCAGTCGTGCTGATCAGCGACGCGCTGCTCGACGACGCACTGCTCGACTCTGTGGGAAGGCGCATGGGCAGACATGGACCGCAGCTAACCGCTGCAGCTTGGGGGCACGAGGGCGCAAGGTCAGCGGACGCAGGGGCCGCAGGAGGAAAAGAGCGACTAACCGCCGCAGCCTGAGGAAAAAGCCAGGAAGAGGAGATGGAGGCAGCCTGCCACGGTGGATTGTTGACTCCCCGGTACGCGCCACTTCCCATAACCAATTGCACGTGCAAGGTCCCCCCAGACATCTTCCGGCTCCACCACCAGCGATTCGCAACAATCTTCACGCTCTTCCCGACGGAGGCGACCCATTTCGCAGTCTCCCCGGTGTAGGCGAGAGCAATTGTTGCCGACTATGCCAATCGTGGCTGTGCCATGTTCGACCGCGCTGACTCGTGGCTGCGCCATTTCCGACCGCGCTGACTATGCCACACGTGACTGCGCCAACCCTGGCCATGCCAACACTGACTGCGCCAACTAAGCTCCTCCCCAGCGGGGGCCCCCCTTTCCTCCTGCGACTCGCGCCTATCTTCACACTCTTCCGGGTGGAGGCGACTGACCGTCGCAGAGTCTGTTGGAATCCGACGCGGCTGGGTGTTCCCAGGGGTCGTGTCGTCAGTGGGTTGCGTTGGACGGTCGGCAAGGTCCTCTCTGTCTTCTCCCTGCCCCTTCTCCTGCGGCTCGCGACCCATGTCGCACTCTTCCCAGTGTAGGCGAAGAAGTGCACGCCAGGCACTGTAGGCACCCCGGTGCGGCAGCTAACCGCTACAGCGTTAGGATGCAGGAAGCTAACCGGTGCAGCGAAAGGAGATGAAGGCGCATGGACAGACATGGAACGCAGCTAACCGCTGCAGCTTGGGGATAGCAGGAAGAAAGGAGGGAGGCACGGTAAGCACCCTGGTGTGGCAGCTAAACGTTGCATCATAGGACTACCCGGTGTGCCGCAGCTATGGCGCGGCGAAAGACTACCCGGCGTGGGAAGACAGCACGCCAGGCTGGCCCCCAGGGCCGCGGTAGGCACTCCAGGCCTCAAGTGGAACGGGTCAGCGTAGGTGGGAGCCCAACTGCGCTGCCGCGCCCACGGGAACGTGGACCGACGTCCTCCCGTGCCCGGCGCGAGCACGCAAGAGAGCGACGATGACGTGCACGGGTACAGTGTAGGGCTGGGCTCTGCCTGTGCCCGGCTTCTTGTAGCCGATTATGTGGCACTCCCACTGTGCAAGGCTATCCGGGGACGAGCGAATGACGCCCCGAACGCGCTCGATAAGAGAACGGCGGCTCATCGTGGTGAGGGCCAGTTCGAAATAGTCGTGGCAGTCTGGGCGTTTCCCCGTGAGCGCTAGGAACCGGCGGAGGACGTCAGGCTCGTGGCGCACGGGATCGTAGGCGCCAGGGCCCCCCATCGCCTTGTTGGCGCGACACACGTCAGGCCACTGGTGTGCCCCCCCCGTCGTTTACCACATCTGGGCCCGCTCCACGAGGGCCGGCGGGTCGTCCGCGAGCGTCCCGTCCCCCGAGGAAGAATCGTCAGGCGACTGCTCCGCTGCTTGGCCCGCGTCCAGCTCTGCGCTCGTACGAGGCCCGTTCGTATCGGGAGGCGAGGGCATTGTAAGCGATGCGAACCCGCCCCGTCTCCACGGGCAGGCGGCACGTACGGGGACGTCTGGGCCAGCGCATTTCGGACACTGGGTCGCCATCGGCTGGAGGAGTCAGCGGCGGGTGACGGCTGGGAGCTCCCGTAGCAATTTTCCTGGTGTGTGTGAACCATCATCGCAAAGTCTGTTGGAATCCGAGGCGGCTGGGTGGTCTCAGGGGTCGCGTTACCAGCGGGTTGTGTTGGACGGTCGGCAAAGTCCTCTCTGTTTTCTCCCTGCCCCTCACCCTGCGACTCGCGACTATCATCACATTCTTCCCGGTGGCGGCGACTGACCGTCGCAGAGTCCGTTGGAATCCGAGGCGGTTGAGTGGGGATACTTTTTTGTCGGCGGCCGCAGGCGAGAGCGCACAGCGGCGAGTCAGGGTCCGAGCGGGCCACGCGAGGGCCTAATTAACCAAGCAGGAGCAGGCCTAACACCGCCACTCAGGACGGGACCAGGATGAAGCCGAAGATGGGGCGGGGCTGCAACACTGCCAGGGGCTGCAAACGTGCAACGAGCTGCAGGGGGGTGCTGACTGCCAGGGTGACCGACTGCCAGGGTCTGCAAGCTGCTGGTGAATTGAAGAGGGTGGGGATACTTTTTTGGTCGGCGGCTCCAAGGCAACGGTCCGGGAGCGAAAACGGCGTCCGGGAGGCGGAACGGGGCGAATTTGCGAATTGGCGAATTTGCGAATTCTTGAGCGTCAAGGATTTGCAGGGCCATCTTCAAGACTATCTTCATCGTCGCTCGGTATAGGGATCGCCATCGCATCGGCAACCATCGTGGGCCAGCCGTGCCAGAGCAGGTCCGATCGCAATCCGATCAAGGCAACTGAGACCAAGCGGGACGCGAGGGGCTCAGATCCTTTTGGTGGGGGGGAGAACCTTTCCCTGGGTGTCTTGAGCCACCAGTGCAGCAGCTCTCGTCCCGCAGGGGTGACGATCGCCCCTCCTCCGCCTCCATGCAATACACTGCTCCTCACCTGGTCTATTCATGACGAGGTCCGAGCGGAGCTGAGCGCCAGGCCCACGTTGTTGGAGGATCTGACGCCTGGCCGCGGCGGTTGACATGAAAGAAAGGGACCCAGAAGGAAACGGGCCCCAGGCTCCGAGGCTGTACACCGGGACCAGCTTTCCATCCCCAGTCAATTTGAAGACGCTTCTGGGGCCAGGGGCAGGGCCACGGGGGCCCGAGGACGGCAGGAACAGCCCCAAGACCCGCACGCCTCAGAACCCGCTTCCCTCATGCTGCGGCGGGCAGCAGACGCACACGGCAACGGACGTTCGGACGGCCGAGCTTCCCACCTGGGCGATCGGTGGGCGTCCCGAGGACCTCTGGGCAACAGGTAAACTCCAGGGCATTCCCTCCGTAGCTGCAGGTTTCGCACGCAAGCGCGCCCGCGCACTGAGGGTCCCTTCGTGGCGCTCGCCGCTCCCGGCTTCGGCTCGCGGCGGCCAGCCAGCGGCGAGGAGCCTTCTGTGCAAAGCAATGAGGGGGACGAGAGTGCCCCAGGAGCCATGAGCCTGAGAGAGGAAGAACGAAGGCGACCAGGAGGAGCAGGGCGCTGGCCATCGCTCGGACGTCCATTCCCTGTGTTTTTTTCGGTTTCGTGCGTGTTTGTTTCGCCAAATGATCGCGGATGCTCCTCGATGGCCCTCGCCGAAAGAAAAATGCACACTTCCGAGCGATGCCAAGGGCGAGGAGAAGGAGGAGGAGGGGGAGGGACAGGAGGAAGCAGAGAGAAAAACGCGGGTCTCCGAAGCGCGGAAGCTCCGAAACAGTCAAGCAGATGTTTGCCAGGCAGAGCAGAGCAAGATGTTGACGTGGCTCCGACTATGCCAACCAGCCCAATATGTTGTCTGACTTGTGAAGTGCTCCCTTGCCCTGGTAGCAATCGGTTTGGCTAATTGGGCGCACCTCCTCGGGCTAGAACCCGAGAGGCGTCGAACTCGCGAGCGTCGCCCTCGATCGCGCCTGGAACCCTTCAGCCAGGTCCACGTGCACGAGATGAGCTTGCCAACTCGACGGAAGGTGCGGACCCTCGACTCTCCTTAGCGGAGAAGGCGATCCATCGGTCGCAGCCCGCCAACTTCCCTGTTCGCCAGGTCTGACAAGGCGCGCGAGATCGGAAAGCAAAGCGCAGCCCCAGTCCAAATTCCGTCGAGGGGGCGGTGACGAGCTCACCCCCCTGGCAGCACGATCGAGGGCCCTATTTGTCCCGAGGTGGCCCCAAGATGGCCCAGGATGGCATCAACGATAGCCTCAGATTGCCCCACTTGGCCAGAAACTACCTCCATACCGACTCCAAGAACCTGCATGGTGCCAAGGCTGCTCGAAGGTTGCCCTGGAGCCTCCCAAGAAGACCTACCAGAGGTGAAGGACTTTTCTCCGTACACACATAATAATAACAACACTAAAAAACAGATGATGCTTGCTCATATGGCGCTCGATCGGTCTCGAGCTGCTCCCAATTTGCTCACGAACTTGCAAGCGGGCGGCCCTACTTGCCACCTTGCGACCCAGTTGCGACCACTCGAGGCGACAGTCTGGACGCAAATATGCCCACCATACGACCACAGGCCATCCCCGCCGTTAGAACTCATCAGTGTGTTTGCCTATCCTGAAGGGACGGACGCGCGGGCCGCAGTCCCACGAAATTGTGCCCCGGCTAGGCCGACTTCATGATATGTCGGCCGAGAGCCTCTTGAGTTGCAAGGTCCATGCCCGACCGTACCGCGCACGAGCACGAGCGTCATGGTATGCTTGCCATGAAGGCACGCCCGCGCCAAACCTGGCAAAACAGTTCCGCGCACAAGAGCGTCGGGCGCAGACGCGCGAGGGCAGAATGAGGAGGGAAAAGGGGAGGCGGAAGGGCGAGGGAAGGAAGGGACGGGGGGGACAGGAAGAAGAGACGAAGGGGGAAGGGACGCACGTCCGTGGACCCCCGAAGTCATTGCTCATTGCGTTTCACAACGTGGCCCCCCACAGGTACCGACCCCGTCCCCAGGACCTGCTTTCTTATCCTGGGTCGTTGTTGGCGCCCCAGAAATCCGCGACCCTGTCGGCGTGTGGAAGACGCTGTACTGTCTGACTCGTCGTCGCCGTCGTCGAAAAGCGTGTCTTCGTCGTCGTCGTCGTTCTGTGTGACTCATCGTCGTCGTCATCGTCGTCGTCGTCGCAGTCAGTCACTGGGTCCTCCTCTTCCAGCGCGCCAGCGACAGCGAAACCGAGCCGAAACCTCAAGCGCGCCAGCCCATGCAAAGCCAAACCGATCTTGAGCAAGGTCGTAGTTGACTCGAAGGGAAGCCTCGTCCCTTTGATCCCTTCCCCCCGGGGGGGGGGGCGGGGGCTGGGGGGGAATGGAGGGGAGGGGAAGGGAGGATGGAGGTGCGGTGTCCCGTGTCAGAATACCCCCTGGGCGGTCTCATGGCAAAAAAAATCCAATAAGGGCCAAGAATGCCCCAAGAAGTCCCGAAGACGGCCCAAGAAGACCCCGAATCGCCGAACGATTTGTCATAGACGCCAGAGATGGGCTCCAGACGGCTCAAGAGGCCTCCAAGACGCCACGATAGCGTACAAGAGCCCTCCCAAGAAAGCCCCAAGAAGCAACAACCATTGGTTTTCCTGCGTCATCTCATCCGCAGCTTCCAGGCGCCGCCCCGCCTCCGCACCCCCTCCAGCCTCTCTCCGTACCCTGGCTGATGGCGATGATAGCGCTGTTGCGCCACCCAGGCCAGGGCATATTGCTGTTCCGTAACTTCAGTCACCGAGACATTGTCCTACACACACGTGTAGATTTTGGCATACATCTATATATATATATATATATATATATATGAACAAACATGTGTGTATGTATGTTTTACCTGCCGGTGCATACATATATCTCTATATGCATAGATGTAGATAGATGTGTATGTCTGTATGTCTTGACACGTGTGTATATGCATACTCGATCCCACTCATGTTCCTCCCCCTCGTTCTGCCCCTCTTGCGCTCTCTCCCTCTCTCTCTCCTCCTCATCTTCCTCCTCCTCCTGCTGCTCCTCATCCTCCTCTTCGCTCCTCCTCCTCCCTCTGCTCTTCATCCTCCTCCTCCTCTTCCTCCTCCTCCTCCTCTTCACCCGCCTCCTCCTTCTCTATTCCTCTTCCTCTTCCTCTTCCTTCTCCTGCTCCTCCTCCTCCTCCTCCTCCTCCTCATCCTCCTCCCACCCCTTGTCCTCGTCCTACTCCTCTTCGCTCCTCCTCCTCCTCCTCTCCTCCTCCTCCTCTTATCCTCCTCCTCCTCCTCCTCTTCCTCCTCCTCCTCCTGCTCCTCCTCCTCCCCTCCTCCCCTTCCCCTCCTCATCCGCGTCCTCCTCTTCCTTCTCGTCCTCCTCCTGTCCTCCTCCTCTCCTCCTCCCTCCTCCTCCCTCCTCCTCCTCCTCCTCCTCCTCCTCTCCTCCTCCTCCTCTCCTCCTCCTCCTCCTCCTCCTCCTCCTCCTCCTCCTCTTACTCCTCCTCCTCCTCCTCCCTCCTCCTCCTCCTCCTCCTCCTCCTCCTCCTCCTCCTCTCCTCTCCTCCTCCTCCTCTCCTCCTCCTCCTCCTCCTCCTCCTCCTCCTCCTCCTCCTCCTCCTCCTCTTCCTACCCCTCCCCCTCCTTCTACCCCTCCTCCTCCACCTACTCTTCTCCGCGCCCTGACCCGAGACTGTGACAGAGCCATCAGCGCGTTGTCGTCGTCGTCGCCGCTGTCGTCGTCGTCGCCGTCGTCGTCGTAATCGTCGTCGTCGTCGTCGTCGTCGTCGTCGTCGTTGTCTTCGGGGTCGACGGCACTGGTCGTACTGCACTAACGATACCGTCGGCACATGCGCTGAGAAATCTTGCTAAGTGAAAACCAGGGGCACAAGTGTCGTTGATCGTTGATCTTCCTGCAGTGCCCCACGGCGTCTGGCGGTTTCTAGGCTCATCAAAAGAATCTGAACTCTCCGCGGGGCACTTGCTGGCAGACCGATTTCACACTTGACGCCCCTTCTGCACCAGAAACAGCATAAAACCTCAATGCTCTGATATCAAGCCTCCATCCGTCTCCGTCCACCGCGACAGTACAGCCAACCGAAATCCGGCCGATCCGATAGCGAAACTGAGACCGACCGAAACGGACCAGCAACAGCAGCCTAGAAGTGGGCAGCGACGCAGTTGCGGCACCACAAACAACCGAACCGAACCGACCGAACGCAACCGACTGCGACGCAGATGAACCGACCAGACCACAGACGCCCTTGGATACCACAGACATCCAAGTATCCAAGACCTCGAACCTCGAACCTCGAGCCCCCGTCCTTCTCCCTCCCTCCGCGCCTCCCCCGCCCTGCTCCCCGCAAGGCGGCCTCGCAGACGGACGGTCCCGTCACTGCTCACAACCTGGCTATGCGAGACGGAGAGGGGAGGCGCCGAGGAGGCCTCGGCGGCGAACGGTGGCCCAGGCTGCGGGGGGCCCGAGATCCGAGCGCTGCAAAACCAATCGCAACTGCGTGCTGTGCAACGTTGTCGGCCTCCGGAGGCCTTTTTCCAGGCCCCTGGACCGTCAAGGAACGACTCGGGACGCAAAGCTGGTCCCGGGGAAGGAGTCCAAGGACTCTGGAGGGGTCCACAGCGTGCGAGTTCTAGGAGGGCTGCCCGCAGCAGGGAGGAAACAAGACCGTGCCCCTGGCAGCTCCTCCTTGGGGTACCCACGTGCAACGCCTACTGTATTGCGGTGACCATGAGGCTCCCACAAGAGGATAAAGTCTGAGCTAGCAAACGAGCAAACCCGCCTGAGACATCCCCGCAATCAGGGCGCGAACGGGCAAGTGTCCTACCCCCTTGCGGTTCATCCTTGGGATGCCCCAATGCCGCGCCTGCTATCTCGCGAGGAACCTAAGAACAGTATGAGTGCATCAAGGTCTGAGTGGTCTGAGTATGAGCGAGTCTGTATGTGAGCACGTCGGATGTGAGTGAGCCTGGGTGTCAGTGAGTCTGAGTGTCAGTGAGTACGAGTGTGCATAGTGTACGTATATGCGCATGACTATGACTTGACTTGATTCAGTATGAGTGGGGCTGAGTGTGAGTGAGTCAGAATGTGAGTAAGTCTGAGTATGAGGGACCCGAGAGAGCAGGCAGGAGGAGAGGAGAGAAAGGGAGGCGAAGGCATCGCACGGATAACAATAACCCCGTCTCAGGATATGGGGAACGTGCGTTCCGATCCCTCCTGCACACGAAAATTACACCCCTCTTATCTTGGGAGCCTCAGTTCGTGCCCCATGGACCTTCAGAAGCCCTCAGATGCCCCCCCCCCCGGAGACAACTCAAAGGAACCTGAGTTCGGCAAATTTCGGTATCCGTGGGGATCCAGAGGCACTAATCTTGCTCCTCAAGACGTCTCGAACGAGCCTCAGTTCGGCACACCCGTCACTCACTTCGTGCCATGGGCACGAGAGCCCTCGGCTGGTCCTCCACACGAACGCAAAGGATCCTCAATTCGGAGGATGCACTTCGTGCCTCCCCTTTCCGCACTTCGTGTTTCATGAGACCCCGGATGCCCTCAGGATGCTTCCAAAACCACCCCACAGGAAATATTGCAACGATTGGTACCAAATCTCGCCGAAACCGTACCCCAGAAGACCCACTGATTGCGAGATGCGAAAGATCGTTTTCTTGGGGGCTCCACCGTAGTTCCCGCTCTGCGGGATCGACTCGGCAGTCCCTCGGCGGGAGCGCAGCGGGAGCAGGGCGGCCTGAGTCGTGGTAATGTTTACAGGTTTGCAGAGTTTGGAGAGGAAGATTGATATTTTATGTACCTATACGACCACCCTGCGGGTGATAAGGAGGTTGGGAGGGGGAGGGGGCCAGCAATGGGCAACAGTGGTGATTGTTGTTCTGACGATGCCAGTGGAGATTGTTGCGTTGCCGCTCGCTCTTGGGAGCCTTGGTGTCGAGTTGTTTACGTCACCTTCGCTCTTGGGCGCCTTGGTACCAGTCCCCCCCCCCCGGGAACTAATGAAACTATCAATTATTCCGTTCATTTTGCAAGGGCTTGGGGTGCTGTTTGGGCGCGTCTTCTGGACCTCTTGGGGGGCTCTTGGGGGCCTCTTGGGAGGCCTCTTGGGGGCCTCTTGGGAGGCCTCTTGGGGGCCTCTTGGGAGCCTTTTTGGGCTTCTTGGGGGCCTCTTGGGGCCTCCCGGGAGCTTCTTGGAGCGACCCTTAAGAGCCTGCTCCGCCAACGTTCGTACTGGGAGCCTTGGTTCCCAGATTGTTGCGTTGCCGCTCGCTCTTGACACAGCATAAGGCACGGGATGTCGATGTGCCTGACGATTTGCGTTGGCATTTGCTTATCGATGTGCATGTCGACTTGCTTTTCGATCTGCATTTCGATCTGCATTTCGATTTGCACCTCACTATCGGTCTCACTATCGATCCCACGATCGATCTCACTATCGCCCTTACTATCGATCTCACTCGATCGATCTCACTATCGGTCTCACTCGATCGATGTCACTGTCGATCTCACTCTCGATCTCGTTTTCGATCCCACTAACGATCTCACTATCGATATCTCTCACTATCGATCTCAGTATCGATCTCTCTATCGATCTCACTAGATCGATCTCACTATCGATCTTACTCAATCGATCTCACCATAGATCCCACTATCGCTCTCACTATCGATCCCACAATCGATCTCACCATCGATCTCACTCGATCGATCTCACTATCGATCTCACTATCGATTTGACAATCGATCTCACAATCGATCTCACTATCGGTCTCACTATCGTTTTCGCACCAGCGGGACACCTGGACACCAGCGGGACACCGGCGGGACACAAGCGGGACACCGCGCGGACCCGTTTGCCGGTCGGGAAACATTTGGTCCGGCCGCGCCGCAGCCACAGGAGACTTACCGGGACACCAGCGGGACACCGGCGGGACACCGCGCGGCCCCGTTTGCCGGGGGGGAATCATTTGGTCCGGCCGCGCCTCAGCCACAGGAGACTTTCCCCTTGCCGGCCCACGCAGCTTCCCCTCGCCCGCACGCACGGCACGCACGAACACGAAACCGAAACCGATTTCCCGGCTCTCCGTTCCACTTCGACATCACCCCCCAACCTCCGATACGAATGCTTGGAGCGGTTTTGCGCAATCGCCCGGAGATCCCCCTGTGACACGTACAAAAAGACACGAGCCCGCAGTTCCGGGGACCTGCGGCATATGTTAAAAGCACCAAGGAACATGGTGTGTGCGCTCCCTATGCTCTTCGCATGCGAAAAAAATGATTGGCGACCCCACTCTCTTACGAGCCTCAATTCATTCGGCACATACATACGTAAAGACACACACACAAACGCACGCACGCACGCACGCACGCATGCACGCACGCACGCACGCACGCACGCACGCGCGCGCGCCTCACGCACTTCGCGCCCATTGACCCCACGAGGCTCCCAAATTCCCCACAGGAGACAGCTTGAGAGAACCGCCCCAACAGAAGCATTGCAACGATTGGTACGCGTTCTCGTCGAAGCCGCACCCCCGAACACCCACTGAATGCAAGATGCGCGTGTTCGTTTCCAAATGGCAGACCCGACGGGCTCGCTCCGCGGGCTCAATATCAGGGCATGTACTAGTACAGAGTGTAGCATGTGCTTGTGTGCTTTCATTGCGATCCCAAGTGTTGCGCTAGTTGTTCTTATTGTTTTGTGCCGGTTGGCTCTAATTGCGCGGAAATGGCCTGGGAATATTTCAGAGGATGTAACGGCCTCTGGGCCGCCCCGATGTCTTCCCGTCTTCCCGGCCGTTCCCAGATGTCTACCTGGACGGCTCCAGCCCTCACCAAGTTGGCTTCAAAGACACCAACCCAAGACGGCTCCACGACGGCCCAAGACATCCCTGACTGCCTCTAAGATCATCTAGACGGCTCAAAGAAGCTCCAAGTGTAACTTCAAGACAACCAACAGTCCTCCAAAAGACCGTCGAAAACATCAGACGCCTCCGATTCCGGACGCCCAGAGGCCCCTAACAGTATACATACGCGTGCACAAACGCGTGCACATGCAACAGCTCCTCCCTTCCATGCAATTGTAGACATGTAGCGCAACACCCGTGCAATGGCACAAACCCGCAACGCTGCAACATTGCTACACGTTCCTTCCCCCAAGAGCGGATTGCGCGGTGGCCCATGCGCATAAACGCAACTGGCGAACTTCGACCACGCCCGAACCTCCCCGAAAATCTGTCGCCCGACCCCTGCTGAACACCAGCCTGGCCCGCGTGGTTTGTTGCATTACACTTGCAACGAGCCGCAAGGGTGCTGCGGAAAGCGCTGAAAGCGAAAATCGGCGGGGCGATGCTCCCAGTCCGGGATGTAACAAAAGTAGCCAAGGGCCGCGCGGCTACATCAGGATGACGAACCGTAGAAAGAGGATGATAAACATAGAAACGGTTCACTCTGTCCAGGACCGGGAAGCACGCTGATAAGATCCTGCAAAAGCCTCTTGCGCATGCCCGTGTGCAAGCCTCTCCTTCGTAGGCCTGAGCCATTCCTTCTCACAGATGGCTGCCTTGGCCGGCTCGTACTTCCGCGGGGGCAGCAGCGAGGACCCTGGCGAACCTGCACCGAAAGCAGACGCGAAGGGCGGAGAGAGTGGACTCAGAAGCGGATGGATGGGACTGAGGGGGTACGCCTGGGTGATCGATTCATGATTTGGTCGATCGATTCATTGATTGACTGATTGAATGAGTGGCTGTATAGATGAACCAGGACAACAGTGTCGCCAGGTCCGATGATTAGAGGGATTACGAGGAAGAGAGACGGAGGGGGAGGGCGAGGACAAGGGGGAGCAAGGGCGAGGAGGATAAGGAATAGGATGAGAAGGGCGGGGGTGGGTATCCGGGCTCCCTGGCACACCCCCAGAGACTGCAGAGGTTCCAAATATGCCTTCCGAGGCCTCGAAGGCGTTCCCAGACGGTCCCGAATCGCAGAGCGATTGGCCCAAGACGCCTGCGAAGACTCGAAGACGCCCCAAGACGCCTTCGAGATGCCCCCAGAGCCTTCCCAAGAGGGCCCCGACAGGCAAAAATCAATGGTTGTACTCGGGTTGTTCATTGTTCCTGGGGATATCGTCTTCTCGAGCTTCCGACGCTCCAAGACGGCCCAAGATGCAGCGTAGACCGCCCCCACACTGCCCAAGAGGCCCCTACGAGGGCCCCAGGGCGGGCCAAGAGGGTTCCATGACGGCCGAAAAAGGGGCCCAAGACGGCCAATGATTGCCCCAAGAAGGCCCCAAGAGAGGCGAACAGAAAGAACGCGAACCGAAAATCCGATCCTTCCGTCCTAAGGAGGGCACCCAAAGGCCCTAAGAAGCCCCCAAGCGGCCCAAAAGAGGCCCCCAGAAAGCCCCAAGAGGCCCCCAAAGAGGCCCAAAAGAGGCCCCAAGGTGCCCGCCAATACGCTTCAAAACTGCCTCCAAGAGGCTCCGCCAGGCCCTCAAACAACTCTCAAGACGCCCACAAGATTCCCCACATAGTGCCCGAGAAACCCACGACGCCTCAACCGTGGACTCCACGCCTCGTCTGCGGGTCGGCGGAATGGCGTAAGCCTCTTGAATGAGAATGAGGATGACAAGGGCGGGCGAGGAAGGAGTGACGGGAGTGGGCAGGTGGAATGCTACTCCCTCCTCTTCCTCTTCCTTTTCCACCTCCTCCACAACATCCTCATCCTCCATGGTGGCGCTCTCGCACGGCCAGCTCTGCAATGCCGTCGGGTCCTGTTGCCCCGTGTTGGGGTCCTCCTGAGGCCATCGTGTGGCCTCTTGGGGGCCATACTGGAGCCACCTTGGGACATTTCGGGACGCGCGCAGGCCACCTTGGGGCCCTCTTGGGCCGTCTTGGGACTTTTTTTTTTCCCCCACATGCTTAGTGGGGTTCTTGTTTTCTTCCAACCCGCGCCGCACCCGCGTCTCACCTCCTCCTCCTCCCCCTCCTCTTCCTTCCTCCCTCACCCATATTCCCCACATGCTTAGTGGGGTGCATAACACAGCGCAGCGCAGCACAGCACAGCACAGCACGGCACAGCATAACACAGCGCAGCGCAGCACAGCGCAGCACAGCACAGCACAGCACGGCACAGCATAACACAGCGCAGCGCAGCACGGCACAGCACAGCACAGCCTAGCAAAGCTCAGCACAGCACACAGCTGCACATCACAGCACAGCGCAGCATAGCACAGCGCGGCGTCTATGCGGGCCATGGCGCAGGGCGTGGCAGGTGTGGCACTTTCTCGACCTCGTAGGGGGGTGCGCTGGGGGTGGTCTCCGAGCGCGGCGTCTATGCGGGCCATGGCGCAGGGCGTGGCAGGTGTAGCACTTTCTCGATCTCGTAGGGGGTGCGCAGGGGGTGGTCTCCGAGCGCGGCGTCTATGCGGACCATGGCGCAGGGAGTGGCATGTGTGGCACTTTCTCGACCTCGTAGGGGGGTGCGCAGGGGGTGGCTTCCGAGCGCGGCGTCTATGCGGGCCATGGCGCAGGGCGTGGCAAGTGTGGCAGTTTCTCGATCTCGTAGGGGGTGCGCAGGGGGTGGTCTCCGAGCGCGGCGTCTATGCGGGCCATGGCGCAGGGCGTGGCAGGCACGGCATGTTCTCGACACCACCGGGGGTGCGCAGGGAATGGTTCCCGAGCGGGGCGTTTATGCGGGCCATGGCGCAGGGCATGGCAGACGCGGCATATCCTCGACACCACAGGGGGTTCGCAGGGGGTGATCCTCGAACGCGGAGTCTATGCGGGCCATGGCGCAGAATCTTCCCTGCCGCGCCGCGCCCGCGCCGCGCCCGCGACTCACCTCCTCCTTTTCCTCCTCCTCCTCCTCCTCCTCCTCCACCTCCTCTTCCTTCCTCCCTCACCCACAGCACAGCACAGCACAGCACATCAAAGCACACACATACACACATACACACATACACACATGCACACATACAGACAAACACAAGCACATTCAGCATACAGCACAGCATACAGCACTGCACAGCACACACATACACATACACACATACACACAAACACACAAGCACACACTTGACAAAGTCATGGGACCTTCCTGCTTGCAAGGTCTTGCATAGACTTGCTATTAAGTAGAATGGCGCAGTAGCCGAAAATGTACACAAACTTTGCGAACGAACAGCTTCTTGAATAAGTTCCTGACGAACGTGCCAACGAAATTGGCGAACGACTGGCACGTGTACGCGTGGAGTGGACTGCGGGCTCTGGCGGGGAAGCGCAGCACACTTCACTCGCAGCGTGAAGCGTGCGCCCCCGGCTCGGGAATGCCACTGGCGTTGCTACACCCCGCCGTGCGCAGCAACCCGGCCGAGGCGACAAGAGAGCGACTCCTGCCGGCACCTACTGGCCCTCGAGGACAGGACGGAACACAATGCCCCGGCGTTGCACGCGTGCCCTCTACTGCGCGCGCGGGCCGCTCAAACTAAGCCCCTTGGACACAGGGGTTGCCTCTAGCATGGGGCCCAGAGGCCCCAGACCGAATCTTAATAGGCGCGCGCATGGAAGCCTGGGAAAAGCGGAAAACCGAGCCGGCGCCCCCTCACCCGGGCAAGCGATGCTTCCCGACAGTACGTTCGTTATTAGACTCTGTGTTCCCAAATGGTTCCGTTCTCCCAACGGCGCGGCGTCACCCCGAGCAAAGCCGAAGCCGAGCCCGACACAACGACACGCTGTTACGAGTCACCCATCCAGAAACTGTAGGCTGTTGTTAGGTGCGTTCAGATAGTAGTCGTCGATGCCGTCGATGTCCGCGGAGACCCCCGCGGGCCTGGAAAAAAAGGCTCTGCGATTCCAAAATGTAAGAGGGACAAGGGAAGCGAAAAGAGGGAGAAAGGACATCATAAGACCTACAGGTGTACCACACGAGCCGATCGCTGATCATCGCATTTTCGAATGCCGCCTAGACGAAGGGAGTGACGCGATACAGCTGCAGGTGTGACTTTCCATGAGGGCATTGAGGGCAGCTTGCATACAAGGCGTGCGCCGCCAACACTAATCACCGCTTCAGACTGCCGGAGTGGGGGAAAGGACGGGAAACCGGAGGAGGGGAGGAGGGGGAGGTGGGGCAATATGCCCCTTCGCCGCGCAAGTGAAACCCCAGCGATCGCATCTTCGACGACTGCCTGGACGCAGAAAATGCATGCAGATAGCAGCAGACCCTCAGAACGATTTCGAAGAAAAACCGGCACGCCAGCATCCATTGTGCTGGCGGTCGCACCTCCGACGAACGCCTGGACACAATCCAATGCGATCGCGAGATCTTCAAACTCCCTGCCCGGCAATGCCCGTGGGACAGACGGAGAAGAGGGACCTGCAAGCTGCCGGCATTTCGCTCAGATGCTATGCGCGAATCGCGGCGCCCGTATTTTTTGACGGTTGCGTGCACACCAAAAACTGTCCAGCGACCTTTTATCCTCAGGACTGTGGCCCGCCCCGACTCTACGGGGGAGGGGAAGGAGAAGGGCAAAGGAGGGGCGGGAGGACAAGGCGACGCGAGAGGACGGGGAGAAGACGGGGAGCAATACTGCAACCCACTCGGTTGCTAAGCTCCACGCGCACTGAGCTGCGGCCCGCAACAACTACATCCATAGAAATACCAGTTCAACATATGGCATCCTGGACGGCTTACGAGCTCAAGCCACGACGGGCCAGGACATCATGCATTGAAGCGCAAGGTATGAAGAACGTCATGCAATGAGGCTGAAACGACAACGACAGCGACGACGACGAAGGGGAGGACCAAGCGATCGGAGAGGAAGGCGGAAGGGGAGGAAAGAGGAGGACGAAACGACAGCAGAAAGCGAGAGCGCGGAAAAACAAAGCGAAGCGTGGGAGGACCGGGAAGGCGACGGGGACGACGAGCACGACCGCGACGACGGTCGCCGTCCACCTCCACCCCGAATTGGTCGTAGAACTCCATGCCCAGCACGACGCCAAGGACGGGATAACAAGGAGGGGGGGGTGCAGGGGGGAATCAGGCGCGGCGATGAGCGTTGTTAGGTTGCTCTCGTGGTTTATTAGGTTGTCCCGAAGGGCCGTGCTACACCGAACGACGTCACGTCCCCCCAAATAGGGCCGAAGCCATGCCCGACGCAACTAGACACCGATCAGGGTTTCACAACGTCCACCCAACGAGGCCGGGGATGCCCGCGATGTGGCCATCGCAGCAAACTGAAAACATTACAAGGGCAACATGTGGGAAGAGCGGAGGGAGCAGAGGGAGAGGAGAGAAAGGAGACACTAACACGACAGCCATCGGCAACGGAATCGCCTCGATGACTGCACCTGTTCGGGAAAAAGGGGCGCGCGACCGCTGGCGACGCTTCTTGTCCCGAACGCAGGCCGCAGAAATATGCCCGGAGGAAGAGGGAGAGAGGGAGGAAGGAGGCAGAAGGGGGGAGCTCAGAGGGGAGAGGCGCCAACCGTCGATACGATACGCACCAAAGTTGCATCGGCTCTGCCTTGCGCTGTCCCCACAGCGCAACCAGCCACACCGGAGCAGACTGGTCGCCGGTCAAAGAAATCCTGCCCGAATTCGCGCCCGCATTATTGTAGACCGTTGTTAGGTTTCTTGTGAGGGGCCGCAGAGCGGTTCACGGACATTCGCGGGAGTAGCGAATGAATGCCCGGACGCGTGCCAGAGCACGCGACAACACACTTGACAAGGTCATGGGACCTTCCTGCTTGCAAGGTCTTGCATAGACTTGCTATTAAGTAGAATGGCGTAGTAGCCGAAAATGTACACAAACTTTGCGAACGAACAGCTTCTTGAATAAGTTCCTGACGAACGTGCCAACGAAATTGGCGAACGACTGGAAGCGCAGAACACTTCACTCGCAGCGTGAAGCGTGCGCCCCCGGCTCGGGAATGCCACTGGCGTTGCTACACCCCGCCGTGCGCAGCAACCCGGCCGAGGCGACAAGAGAGCGACTCCTGCCGGCACCTACTGGCCCTCGAGGACAGGACGGAACACAATGCCCCGGCGTTGCACGCGTGCCCTCTACTGCGCGCGCGGGCCGCTCAAACTAAGCCCCTTGGACACAGGGGTTGCCTCTAGCACACCGCATACACAGCACAGCACAGCACAGCACAGCACAGCACAGCAGACCGCAGCACAGGGCAGCACAGCACAGCACGCCCCACTCGTCCAGGCATACCAGGCGTGGCCTTTTTTCTGGGCAATGCGTGGCAGGCGTAAAACTTCCGCACTTCCTCGACACCACAGGGGGTGCGCTGGGGGTGATCTCGCTATCCGCTGCGGCCTCGCAATGCGTGGCAGGCGTGGCACTTCCTCGACACCACAGGGGGTGCGCTGGGGGTGATCTCCCTATCCGTTGCGGGCTCGCAATGCGTGGCAGGCGTGGCACTTCCTGGACACCACAAGGGGTGCGCTGGGTGTGGTCTCCCTATCCGCTGCGGGCTCGCAAAGCGTGGCAGGCGTGGCACTTCCTTGGGGTGCGTTGGGGGTGGTTTTCCTATCCGCTGCGGGCTCGCACAGCGCGGCAGGCGTGGCACCTCCTCGACACCACAGGGGGTGCGCAGGGGGTTGGTCCCTCACCGCGGCCGCTATGCACGACGGTCGTCCAGGGCAAAGCAAGTGTGGCATTTTCTCGACGCCAGACGGGGTGCGCAGGGGGTTGGTCCCTCACCGCGGCCGCTATGCGCGCCGGTCGTCCAGGACAAAGCAGGCGTGGCACTTTCTCGACTTCGTAGGGTGTGCGCAGGGGTTGGTCCCTCACCGCGGCCACTATGCACGACGGTCGTCCAGGGCATAGCACGCGTGGCGCTTTCTCGACGCCAGACGGGGTGCGCAGGGGGTGGTCCCTCACCGCGGCCTTTATGCGCGCCGGTCGTCCAGGTCACCCGGCTCGCAATGTGTGGCTGGCGCGGCGCTTCTCCTCTTCCACCTCTCCTCTTGAGTGGCGTCACCAACGGCATCGGCGGGGCATCGGCCACCAGCATCATTCTCACATGCTTCACTTCAGCTATCATCACTCCAGCCAGTCATGGACAATCTTGAGACCTCTTGAGGCGCTCTTTGGCATCTCTGAATACCTCTACTGCGCCGATCCGAAAGTTTCCCCAATTTCGCCTCCGTGCTCGCCGCGGCCATCTGGGGTGGCGCGCGCAGGATAAGACTCGCGGGGCCCGAAGGCGGATGGGGGCAATGTCGCGAGGGCAGAGTCGGCGCGCCGATGGGCAGCCCAGCGCCCCGTTTGGCCGGAGGGGCCCAGTACAACGCAAAGGCAGAGCCTAACCCCCGCCCGGGGTCGCGGGATCGGGTTCCCCTTTCCCAAACGGTGTACTGACCCGAAAATGAACAAACGGCATAGGACCTCCGCGAAACAAAACTTTCGGGTTCGGTCATGCGACGGCCCGAAAAGTTCACCGGCCGACCTGAATGTGGCCAAATCCCACAGGACTTGTGCCCAACAAAAAATCCGGGTCCGGTTCGAACGACCCGAAAATGTGCAAACCCCCTAGGATTCCTTGCAAAAACGTTCTCGAGGTCCTCGGGCCCACTCCGAAAAACCGAACATGGGCAAACCGCCTAGAACTTCCGATCAAAAACGGTTTCTCGGTGGTTCTGGGCCTCGTCCGAAAGAGCCGCCGATGGGCAGACCGCTCAGGTCTTCCTGCGCAAGAAACGGTTTCCCAGGTGAGCCACTGTCAACGGGAACGCGCCCCGCGCGGGATCGGGGTTCGCCCGGGGGCGCGGCTGCTCTCGCCTATCCAGGGGGCATGCATTGCCGCGCCCTTCAATCGTAGCGTTTGCGCTGCATTCGCGCGGCGCCGTGCCTCTCAAATCGGAATAAACTTTCGGAGCGCCGATGTAGCAGCCATATTCAATCGAACAGTGCGGAATCGTCAATTTGTTAAGACTATCGTGAACCCCTTACGTTTGTGGCTGGTTTGTGCCCTCTGCTTTAGGGTTCGTCTTGTGGTCTGTCGGTGCTGTCTTCGGGCCATCGTGGGGCCGATTGGGCATCTTTGAGATTTTGCGAAGTCAGGTCGGAGATCCATTGGGTCATATTTGCGGACGCGTGGGCTCTCTTGCAGCTCGTTGCGTCGTTGCACTTCCGAATGAAGTCTGCAAGCTTGGGCCTGTCGCCCGTCAGACCCTGAGACAGGAGCGGTGCCCTTCCCCAACCTCATCCAGATTCGTTGCTCGGTCCACCCTTTCCTTCCCTCGCTGGACTCGGATGACAACGCGGAAGTCGTAACTCCTTCCTCCTTGGCTCCTTCATTCTCTCGTCAGCTTTGCTGCTCCCTCTGTTCCAGTCGACGGGTGGGGCCGCTGCTGGAAGCCGGCGCGGCCGCGGCGCCTTGTGGGGAGAATGGCAAATGCCTTTTCGACGCTTCGGCGGCTGAGGCCCCCGAGGTAGCCGTGGGACCGTGAGGAGATTCCATAAAAAATGTGTGGCCTCGACAAGGGACCAGAATTATGAACGCCCAGAAACGAAATGCCGAAGACGTGGAGTATGGGAGAGGAAGAGAGCAAGAGACATCTGTGTGTATGTGTCCGTACATGCATACATCATACATACATCCACGGCTCCGCCAAAAAGATCGGTCAGCTACATACTGGAATCCCTGGCAAGCTTCACGGCCATTCTGAATCTTACCTCAACAACGCCGTTATTATTCCTCGACGCTCCAGTAGCCACCCGTCTAAGATTCCTTCCAGGTCCTCCCGCGGTAGCAAAACTCAGCATACTCGATGACCGGTCAGGGATCGATTGGTGACGCAACTCGCATGCATGAGTCGCATGCGTCGCTCCACCACGCGTTGTGCAGATTCGCCGATCACCCCAAAATTCTCTTCCCTCGTTCGCCCTCTCCCCCGCCCCCCCCACCCCCCACCCTTGTGATCATTTCACTTCCTGCCCCGAAGGAGGAGAGAGAAAGGAAAGGGATAAGTGAAGTGACTACACCTGATGTGCGAACCACTCGAGACATTCCCGCAACCTGACATCGATCAAGCACGTTTCCCCCTTCCATGACGGCTCCTCCTTGCGGTGCCGTTATGCCACGCCCGCTACATCGCGTCGATGATGAGGCTCTCAACAGGAAAGTGCCAGAGGCGACAAAACAGGTAAACTGCCTAAGACATCCCCCCAGTCTGGGCGCGAACGTGGTTAGCAGCTCCTCCTTAGGGTGCCCGAGTGCCACGTCTACCGTAGTTCGGTGATCATGCGGCTCTCACAAGAGAGGAGACCGAGGCGCCGAAACAGGCGAACAGGTTAGACATCTGGCCGCCAACGGGCCATCGTCATACTCCCCGTCGGCTCCTCCTTGAGGTGCCGGAATGCCACGCCTGCTACATCGCGGCGGTCATAGGGATCTCGAACAAGAGCCCGATGCGCCGAACAGTCGAACCGCTTGAGACATTCCCCAAATCTGGCCGCGATCGGGCGAGTGTCATAACCCCTGCCTGCTCCTCCTTGGGGTGTCCGAGTGCCACAGATGTTATAGCCCAATAACCATAGGGCTCTCAAACGAGAGGAGACCGAACCGCTTGAGATCTCACCGGAACCTGGCCAAGAACGGGCGATTGTCGTATCCCCTGGCGGCCCCTTGGGTGCCCAAATGCCACACCTACTATATCCCGATGAATCAGTGCTCAGTGAGAGTCTGAGTGTCGGTGAGTCTCAGTGTCAATGAGCATGTGTGTCAGTAAGTCTGAGTGTCAGTAAGCGTGAAGCCTCTGAGAATGAGTTAGTCTCAGTACATGTGGGTTTGAGTGTCAGTGAATCTGAGTGTCGGTGAGTCTGAGATTGAGTGCGTATGAGTGTGAGTTTGAATGTGATGAGTGAGCCTGAGTGTGAGTGTATATGAGACGGAATGGTCTGTGCGAGTGGGTCCGCATATGAATATGTCTGGGTGTGAGAGACTCTGTGTGAGATGCGCCTGTGTGATATGAACTGAACATGAGCTTGAGTCACATTATGAGTGAGCCGGAGTGTAAAAATCAGAAGGCGGAAAGGAAAAGGGTGTCGTCGCACTAATAATCAGAAGCCCACCTTATTGCTATTCGACTTTTGCGAGGTCGCAGCCATGATTCTCTCCTTCGTTCCCTCCCCTTCCCTTCTCCATCCTCCCTCGAAGCCTTCGGCGCCGCGTTCGGCGTCACTCCTAGCAGCGGCGCCGACCTGCGAACCCAAAGGCGGGTCGGGGCGCTGCGCCGAGTGGGAGGTCGCGGGGGAAGGAGAACAGCAGCAGCAAGCGCGATTGGGGGGGGTCAACGGAGAGCGATTGACATTCCGCTTGTGACGTCCGTCACATGAGGGGGGGAGGCGAAAGGGGGTCACGGCGCAGCAGGAGGGTCTCCTCGTCCTCCTTCTCCCCTCCTCCTCCTCCTCCTCCTCCTCCTCCTCCTCCTCCTCCTCCTCCTCCTCCTCCTCCTCCTTAACTTAAGCCGCAATTCTGGCTCGAGGCAGCCCGCGCCTGGGCGCGCGCTGCCTGAACTGCATGGTGTCTGCGTTTCATTGTACCCGTTGGCTCGGCTTCGAAGAAGCTGCTGAACAGGATCTTGGACCTCGGCCGTCAGGACATCGATGTGTTCTCCGTCGGCGATGTTGCCGCCTCCAGTCACCAGGGAGCGGAGTCTGTTCTGCTCAAGGTTAATGGGGGCTTTCGTCGAATCCCTCGTCCGCCGTTGCCCAACATGGCTACGCACCTGGCAGCTAAAACTGCAAGCTCCAGCGCGAACGGTGTTGCCGCCGCCGCCAGCGCCTCCGCATGCCCATCAAACACCAGCGACTGACGAGTGCAAGATCTTCAGCCAGCCCGAGAAGAAGCTGAACTTGCGGGAACAGAAGTTCATTTCATTTCAGATGGAACTCGCGAAGAAGATAAAACACATCAAGCAGAAGAAGCACCAGCAGCATCGCTGGACCAAGCATTCCAAACAATACAAGAATGCCACGAAGCAGCGGAGGGTGATCACGATCTTGGGTCCGAGGAATATTTAGCTACCGCCCCGTCCGCCCCCGCGTGGGAACTGGGAAGACATCCCGAAGGACCCTTACGCAATACAGGTGACGTCACCTCCATGTTCGCCAGCGGCGGGAATGCGTGCGCCAACGACTCCGCCGCGACGCAGCGCGACGTGGAATACTACAACGTCGGGGATTCCTCCTCCCCCCAAGGCGACGACTCACCGCAGGTGGTGCAGTACGGGAAGAAGGTCCGGCAAAAAAGAAAAAGGACAAAGAGGAAAAACCATCGGCCCGGTTGGTAGTATTTCAATGAAGGATGGGACGATTGAGCCATCCAGTGCTACGCTGACTTCTTCTGGTGGCGGAACTCCAAGAGAGCAGTGTTCGAAATGAAACTAATCGGCCACACACAAACATACTATTACTAGACGTCCTCCTTGGAGGCGCGCGTCCGACCCGAACATAAACTGTACCCATTTTGTAGTATATCGTTTCCCGAGCGGGGTGGCCAGAAAGCGCCCGCCACGACGCATATACTACACGATTGTTCGGTGCGCTCGTCGCCCCTGGCGGGGCGACGCACACATAGTATGAGTATGTGGGGAGGCACCGAACTAAAGCTCATGATGATGCTGGATGTGGTTTGCAGGTATATATATATATATATATATATATATATATATATATTTATATATAATATATATATATAACATATATATATATATATATAAATGCATATATATATATATTAATCTTAAAACATATTAGAAACGACAACAAACTTGACGATTTTGAGACGACGAACATGACCCTGAAGCAGAAGCTCCTCGATCGCGGCTTCCTGCGAGAGCTGGCAACGGCGTCGTTTTCCTGATATCTACCGTTCAGCCACATTTCTTCGTCTACACCTTGGGCGCGGGCTGCGTCGGCATCATGGGGCCGGCTTCAACTTCCTTGACGAACAAACCAGGGCTCGACTGCCTTATCTTCTTCGACTGGGTGCCGTTTCAGTTCGAATCTCTCGCTACCTCCTGCGGGGGCGTCGCCGAGGCAGCAGTGCAGCGCAGCGGCCCACAGCAAAAAAACTCAATTCCTCCACATTATCCTCCTCTTCCTCCTCCTCCTCCTCCTCCTCCTCCTCCTCCTCCTCCTCGTTGTCTCTCTCTCTCTCTCTCTCTTTCTCTCTCTCTCTCTCTCTCTCTTTCTCTCTCTCTCTCTCTCTCTGTCTCTCTCTCACTCTCTCTCTCTCTCTATATATATATATATATGTTTCGGCCCGAGTTTCAGCGGGAACAAAGCGCGGCCTGGACACGAATCCCTCCGCGCTGTCCAGCCTGGGGAGACCGTAACTGGGGCCTTTGCCCAAAGAATGATTCGTGTCACGCCCCCCCCAAATCCTCCGCCGCAATGGCCTGCGCCGCCAGCCTGGTCTCGGCACCGCGCGAGGTGACCTCGTCACGGCCCATTTCCTCAGCTGCGAGACGGGCAAGACTCCGGAGGGAGGCGACCAGCTTTCATGCGGCACGGCCACCTCCACGACAGCTTCGTCCTGGGACACATACTCAAATTGTTCATCATAATGATCACGTTCTCTGCGATCCCACGATTGATGAGCATGTTCTCCCTGAACCACCTCACGCCCCTCCCGCTTCATGGGGCTCTCTTCAAGATTTCCGAGACGACGTCAGGCGTGCCCGGGGTGAACTGCACGCGCTACACGCCGTTGCTCATCTCCCAGGCCGCCGCGCTGCTGCGGCGGCCAGTCGGGACCCGAAGATCAACAGCAGCAACCTGTTGCACCGGATCTTCCGCGTCACGCTGCTCCCCCACAGAGCCCTCGACGCGACCTGCGCCTACATCTTGGGTGATGTCTTCACCGTCGTCGCCCTCGCACGCGCTCTTGCTCATGCATCAGGCCGCCGCGCCGCGACAGCGGCCAGCTGGACCCTGAAGATCCTGAGCTGCAACACGCTGCACCTGGTCTTCCGCGACGGTTTCCTCAACACGGCGGGCCTGGCCCGCCCCGCAAGGGCCGCCGCCGCCGGCAGGCACCGCGTCGGGACGCTTTTCGGCATCGCCAAGGGCGTCTGCCGCCTGGCCGCCGCCGTCGGCAGGCGCTGCGTCGCAACGCTCTTCGGCATCGCCAAGGGCGTCTGCCGCCCCCCACCCCCACCCCCAGCAGAGACTCCCAGGCTCCGCAACCTGCCGCGGGCCGTGCGCTCGCAGGCCACCGCCCGCACACTGATCACCCGCCGCGCGCTCACAGGCCACGGCTCGGCGCCAGCGAACACCCCCACCGACGCTCCACGATCGCGATCCACGTGCTCACTGCGCGCGCCACCTGGGCCACGACCCCGCCGTCGTCGCCCACGTCCGCGGCGCAAACCGCCGCCTGGTCACCCGGGCCCGGCCCCCCGCCACGGACGCGGGGCACGCGTGCCAGGACGCGCCGCGCACCGTCCAGGGGGGTCCCAAGGGCGATTCTGTCCCGGCGATCCCTGCCGACCCGATCGCCACGATCCAAGTCGGCACGGAGGTCACGGTCTATGGCCAGGAGAGCAGACCACAAACCGGTTTCCGCGGCGTCGTCCGAGGCCGCTCCGGCGAGGCCGACCAATGCTGGATCGCCACGCTAACCAACGGGTGCACCGCCCACCTGCCCCCCACCAGTGCGTTCGTCTCCGCTCCAGTGCCAAGCCCCGAGGTTTCGTCCCTCGGCGCGCGCACTCCCCCTGGGGTTCCCGCCTAGGGCCCCCCCCCTTTTCCCCCCGTCGTCTACGCGCGCGGCGCGGCAGAGAAGGCGAGATGAGAAGTGAGGGGACCGGGGGCGAAAATCACGACCACCACGACAACCTTGCGCCCCGTGGCCACACCGCTGGCGCCCCGACCACCGTCGCGCGCCCAGCCGATGGGGCCACAGGCGACCAAGCCCCCGAACAGCGCGACGAGTTGAACAGTGCGCGAGCAGAACGAAAATGTTACACGAGAGCGGTTGCCAATCACGTTCGCCACGCCTGTCACCAATGTCTCACATCGCCCGTCAATTTCTCAGTGCCATCGCCGTCAGTTTCACTGGCGGCCTCCGCACTACCACGCAACGCGCAGTCCACGCGAGCGCCATTTGCTCCGCGCGCCTCCGACGGACCCTGTCCGGGACGAGACGGCGCTCGCAGGCCCGCCCGACCAGGCCCCCTGGAAGCGGCGCTGCTGAGCACAGCACAGGCGGCGGGCGCTGGCGGCACCCCGCGGAGTAGCGCGTCGGCGAGCGCCAGCTCGGCCCCAACGCGCGCCACCAGGACGGACATTGCCTCGAGCACCTCGCCGTGGAGCTACACGACGGGGACCTGCACCTGGACGGCGAGCGCCAGCTCGACCCTGCCGGCCAAGAGCGGGACACGCATCGCCTCTAGCACCGCCGCCCGTCGGGCCTCGCGTCGGGAAGGCCGCCAGCCCAGGTTCCAATTGGCATGGGCCCCCGCCCCTTGCCACCCCAAACCCCGGCCAATGCCCCCTGGCCCCCCCGACAATGACGCGACAGAGAGCAGCAGTTCGACTCTGACGCCCATGAACTCGGCGTGAACGGCCGCGAGCACCACGGCGCCCACCGCCGCGATGGGCGCAGCAGAGCCCCGTGGAGCACGGCGCTCGCAAACAGCGGCTCGACCCCAACGACCACGGGCGCGACCGCGAGCAGCGCCGCGGGATCCAGCGCGACGAACGCAAGCGCCACGACGTCGAGCAGCAAGACGGGGTCGAGCACCGCGACGTTGAACAGCACGACGGGGCCCAGCACCAGCAGCCTCACATCCACGAGTGAGCCGAGCAGCGCCCCGAACAGCAAGTCTCTGAGCGGCGCAGCCGGAGCCGCCGCCTCGACGCTGAGCAGCGCGACGCAGCTGAGCAGCGCGACGGGGCACAGCGCCGCGGAGTCGAGCGCCAGGACGGCGAGCAGCACGCCAGCTGGCGCCAGGCTCCAGCACCTCGACGTCGAGCATTGCGACAGGATCCAGCGCCGGCAATCTCGCATCGACGAGAGAGACGCGCGGCGCAACGAGCACCACGTCTTTGAACAGCGCGCCCGGCAGGGCGGGATCCACCAAGAAACTGCCGAGCACCACAAAGCAGCGTTGAGCGGCGCGACTGGGCCCCGCACCAGCAGCCCGACATCTCTCAGCAGCGCGTCTGGGACCGACACCTGGACGCTCGTCAGCGCGACGGAGTCGAGCACCGCGGCGCTGAGCAGCACGACGGGATCCAGCGCCACCGACTCGAGAACCACGACGTTGAGCAGTGCGACGGAGCACCGTGTGTTTGAAGAGCACAACGAGGCCCAGCACCAGCAGTCCCACACCTGCGAGTGAGAGAGCAGCGCACTGGACACCACGTCTCTGAGCAGCACATCTGGGACCAGCACCTCGACGCTGAGCAGCAGGATGCAGTCGATCACCATGAAGTCGAGCAGCGCGACGGGATGCAGCACGACAGAGTCGAGCACCACAAAGCTGCGCGACGGGGCCCAGCACAACGCAGTTAAGCAGCGCGACGGGCACCACCGCCAGCAGCCTCACATCTACGAGCGAGCCGAATAGTGCAACGAACACCACCATCTTTTAAGCAGCACGACGGGGTCGGGCACCGCGACAAGGAACAGCGCGACCGAGTCGAGCACCACGACGCTGAGCAGCACGACCAGCACCAGCACGACGCAGTCGAGCACACCGACGTTGAGCAGCACGACGCAGTCGAGCACCTCGACGCTGAGCAGCACTACGGGATCCAAGACCAGCAGCCAGACATCTACGAGTGAGACGAGCAGGACAACGAGCACCACGTCTTTCATCAGCACGTCTGGGACCAGTACCCCTACACCTGGCAACCACTGCCACGTGTGGGACGCGCTCCGCCTCGACTACTGCGCGGCGGTGCGCTCCCACGGGTAACAGTATCCCAACATCCACTGGTATGCTCAAGAACATCAACTCGGCTCTGATGCCCCCGAGTGGGCGCGCACGACTGCCATATATCACGTCGCTGACCACCACGACCGGCACCAGCCGCGAATCGGCAAGCAGCACGCCTGGGAGCAACAGCTCGACCTTGACGACCACGAGACCGAGGCGAGGACTCCCCCGTCTACTCGCAACTGGGCGCTGATCAGCACGTCGCCAACCACCACCGCGGGCAACAGCAGCGCATCGCTGAACAGCACGATCGGACCCACAACTGCCTCGACGTGCACCAGCGGGGCGGGCAGTGCCGCGAGCACCACGCCGCTTAGCTGCACGATGGGCACTGGCACTTAACGATTAGGACGTCGGGGAGTACCAAATCGAATACCATGTCGCTGACCATCATGACCAGCACCACCCGCGAACCGGCGAGCAGCATGACCAGGAGCAGCAGCTCGATCTTGACGACCATGCGTGGAGCGTCCACCACCCTGAGTTCTGCCCCGAGTCCTACCAGGTCAATGGCCCAGTACTTCCGCGATCCGCATTGGCCCACTGGGGGCGGGATGCGCGTGCCGATCTGTTTCCTAGAGCCACGCTGGCCCACTGGAGGTGCGATGCGAACTTCGCCCTACTTCTACTAGCCACACTGGGGTGGGATGCGAGCTCCCACCAGAACGTCGGGGAGCACCAGCTCCACCCTCACGTGCAATGAGCACAGACCGCCTGGAGCGCCCTCCATCAGGCCGATCGCCCGTTTGCCCTCGGGCGCCGCCCCAGGCGACCGACCAGGCGCGTCTCGGTGTCCACCAGGAGCACTCCAGTGTCCAGTGCTACCTTTACTTGCGTGGCCTGCGCGAGCTGTTGGCAAGCTATCCGCAACTCAGTCTCTTTGTTGTGCCGCTGCGGGGGACGTCCCAAGGTGGCGCCTCTCTTCGCGGGGCGATGGGGCTCGCGCGCCAACACGCGCCTAAAGCCAGTGCCGCTCTTCGCACAAATGCGCCGACGGGCCCCCGCGGGTCTGATCACCGCCGACCGTCGCTTATTTCAGCCGTGGACACTTTCGTCCGCGCCAGGAGGGGCATCCCATCACCCCCGTTTAGCAAGCGGCGCATCCAGCATGGTGAGGCGGGTCCGCTGAGCACGTGTGGCTAAGGGGCCCGGACAGTAACTCCGTCCGAAGAGGCCCTCTCAATCATCCTCCTCGAAAGATTCCCCAAAAGATTTCCGCAACGGTTCAAAGAAAACATAACTCAAATTCGCCAGCCCAACGGGCCAAGGGCATGCTAAGATCTCCGGAAACTGGTTAACAGTAGTTCTAGTTCGCACGCGCAAGGCCGCCAATGGGGATCCCCGGACGAAAAATACCCCGGCAAGGTCCCGGCAAGGTCCCGGCCAGGTCCCGGCCAGGTCCTGGTCAGGTCCCAGCAGGCTCCCAAGAGCGCTCCAGGAGCGCTTCAAGTGGCCTCCATGAGAGCTCAACATGGTCCGAGACGGTCCAAGAGCGATCCACGACGCTAAACATGGCCTGCAGACAGCCCAAAGCGCCTTCAAGACGCCCCAAGAGGGCTCCAAGAGACCTCCCAAGAGTGCCCACTGAGGCAGACATTTGTGATTGCCCTATAGTTGTTTGTTTTAAGTCTGTGGCGTTCTCGCCCTTTCGGTTTACCAGGGCTGTTAGACGGCCCAAGAGGCTTCCAGGATCGCCCCAACACGGCCCAAGAGGTCTCCAAGAGCGCTCAAAACGGCCACAGAGGGCCCAGAGACGGCCCCAGAGGCCTCCAAGATGGTCGAACAGACATTTCGAGCTCTAGGCGCAGAGAGGCCCCCTGGAGGCCCCAAGAGGCCCTCAAGAAGCCCCCACGAGGCCCCCGAGAGGCCCCAAGAGACCCCTAAGAGGCCCCCTTAAGAGGCCCCCGTACCGCCAAGAGGACCCCGAGAGGCCTCCTATCGTCTCACCGACCCTTCTTTGTTCCGTCCCTCTCCTCCTCCTCCCCCCTCTGCGACAACGAACCTCAATCCTCGAACGAAAAGCGCTACAAAAAGTCCTCAAGGCAGCAATCGAGAGGCCTCCTCCTCATCCTCATCCTCCCCTCTTCCTCCTCCTCCTCCTCCTCCTCCTCGTCATCCTCGTCCTGAACGGACATTTCGATAGGCGCAGAAAGGTCCCCTTGAGGCCCCAAGAGGCCCCCAAGAAGCTCCCAAGAGGCCCCCGAGAGGCCCCAAGAGGCCCCAAGAGGCCCATCAGAAGCCCCGAGAGGCCCTCAAAAGTCTCCCACGAGACACCCAGGATATCACAAACATACCGCCACGAGGTCCTCGAAAAGCCTCCCAGAAGACCCCAAGCGACTCCCGAAGAGGCGCCTTGTCCATGACCAGTTTCGCCCCAAATTGTCACAAAAAGCCCTCCATCCCCCCCTTTTCCTCCTCCTCCTCATCCTCCTCGTCTTTTTCGCTCACCACGAACACACAAACAGATAGCACCAATGATGCAAGATGGGCCAGCGGAATGAGCGAAGCGACTAAATAATCTGACAAGGCTTTGGCCCAGCATTTGGCCACATGAGAGCAGGGGGCGGGGGGGTTCACCATAGGCATCCTCGATCAGTTGAAAAAGGCAAGAGCGCCAGGCAACCGTAGAGACGAATCAGAATATGTAACGACTGGTTGTCATGCACAACGATGCGGCAACTGACATCCGCCCTTGGGGATACACAAGCATGTGTGTCCCCAAATCAGCAACCAACGAGCGAACCGATTCCCCAAACAGCACCTACACCCTGCACCCCGCACGGCGACGTGCCATCTTAGAATCCAGACATGCGAGGCGTCGATGTGTTCGAAGCGTGGCCTCCTAGACCTGGCGACCCCTTCCTCAGGGCTGGCTGTTCATCCCAAGTCGTGTTTGTTGACAGTCACGCGGCCCGAAAGTGGTCTCCAGATGCCACGAATGACAACAAACTGACTTCCTCGACTTTGCACACGGATGTCTTGCAGAAGGTGCTCGTGACTCATGCGCGTGCCGATTCCTGGCACAGCCTGCGCGCGCAATATCCCGCCTCACGCGTACAGAACCTTGGCCGCCCGCACCTCGCACTGGCGACGCTGGGAGAACGACACTGGCTGCACGAGCGACGGGGACCTCGAAGACACTAGGAATCGAACATCTGTACAGATCCACCTCTTTCCTCCTCCCCCGCCACTCCTCTGAGCATGTTCTCACTTCCCAGTGGGGACAAGGGAGGAACGAGGTGGACCTGCATACTTGTTCACTGTCGAAGTACTGAACCACGACCACCCGAGTAGGAGGGAAAATCGAGCCATGGTGGCGCGGCCGCGGAAACCGATAGCCTGGAGGAATCAAGGGCGTCGACGATACCGCTGGTCCGACACTCTTTGAAGGGGCAATCTAGGGGAAAAGGTGGCCGCTGGGTGGAGCTGGGTCTCGGGTAGCCTGGGGCAAGGGGGAAAGAAGCTAGGGGGTGGTACAACCTAGCCGCTACGGAGGGGGGCGGAGACTGAGGGGTATGGTGATGAGAATCTCTGGCGAGAAAATCATCGGCGATGGGAACCACTTGCAGCATGTGTCGATGCCGGGCTCGAATACGGGAACATTACGGGCAATGTGGCAACGCTGCAATGTGGCAACAGCCTGGCCGCACAGTGGTCGTACGCCACAGACTGTTCACTGCCCGACCATAGGCTCAGGAAATGAGCGCCCTCAACGACAGAGACAACCACTGTCTCCTCCTCTTCCTCCTCCACCTCCTCCTCCTCGAAATCGGTCAGACGACGCTGATGATTACGCGACGAGCGGGCAGGGCCTGAGGCTCGCGCGGCCTGTACACGTGGGGTTCCTGGTCCCAGCCGGTGCCAGGCATGGGCTCCTCGGGGACACAGAGGAAGCGGAGGAAGTGGAGGTGCACGAGTGGGATTATTTTGGGTTGCGACGATCTCCGCCGGCGGCACGGGAGATGGTGTCACGGATGCGGCGCGCATGGCACCCTGGAATGCTTGAAAGGAAACGCGGAAAAAGAAGGATCACCCGATCCAAGGCTGACCCCTCAGCTACACGCAAGACTGAAAATGACCACGGAAGGCCAAATCTAGGCGCGCATGTTGTTTCAAACTGAAGTTGGGAAACCGTGCTTGCCCGCACCAGAAGTTACGCCAGCGAAGGGCAACTCTCAGGAGAGCCGAACCCCGCAGGACTGTTTCCCCAGCCGCCTGGGTTTGTCTGTAGGAGCTTCGTGCGAGCAAGCCGCCAGCGCTTGACTCCGGTAAATCAATACCAGGCGACCCCATCGGGACCACACGGCCGTGTTGGCGGAGCTCGCCGCCTCTTGACCCTCCCAGCCCTGCCCGAGTGCTCGGAGCCCGAGATGGGCGCCGACTCTATCTGCAAACTTGGGATTTCGCGGCGGTCCACAATCCCAACGGAAACGCAGCTCCTGCGGAGGGGGCCCGGGCCAGGGCCCCCGACGGATTGTAAACACTGTTTTTGTTCGTCTGCTTTACGGTACAACGGATTATTCCCTGGTCGAAACTAAACATTGACCGTCGTTGTTTTCAGAAATACACGGAGACCTGGACACGCGCATTTGGGCAATCAGGAAGTGTTTAACAAGCTTCCGACAAAAAGATGCGAAGCATCCCAGAAATCCTCTCAAAAGTTTCTGGGAGGCGTCTACGGGGTTTCTTCTCTGCGAATCACATGATTCCGATCAATTGCTGACGTCCGCCACCGGGCCGCCAGGCACGGGGTGGGCGCGCCCCCAAGCAGTCGTCATCGCATGTCGCATACGACGCTGAAGACAAGAGGTACGATGGCGGCGATGGAACCACGGAGGGGGCAATGGCTTTTTGTCATCCTGGACCGCCGCAGATAGCACACAGGAGGCGGAGCCAGCCACGTAGGCAGATTCGGCGGCGACGCCTTGAGCCCAGGAGGCGGCGGACGAACAACGCATTATCGTTGAGGAGGGAGCAAAGTTCGACCGCAGCCGCCATAATGCGCGGGCCCAAGGCAGCGCGTGCGAAAACAAACGAGATGAGCAGATGAGAGTTTCGATCACGAGGCGCGCAGAGCTAAGTCGCGCCTCCAAGAACCGGGCAGACTGGCACAACAGTGCGATGGGCAGAGACAAGCTGCAGAATACAACCGGGGCAGGACAACCAGGGGGGCGCCCTGAAAGCCCAAGCGCGAAGAACATCGTGTAGGTCGCGACTCCGCCAAAACAGGGCGCAATGTGCCCGGGCGCGATTCCGCCGCAGCAAAGCGAGAAAGGAGCGCGGAAACGCGCTCGCTTCAGCGCAATCGCGGGTCTTCGACAGCTCTGCGCGGGGCCAGCAAGAGGACCCCCCCTCTACACGCAAAGCGGCTGCAGCTGAATGACCCACTAGATCTCTGGGGCGCATTCAGGCACGTAAATAGCAACAGGGCGATGGGCGGCGCATTGCCTCGATGCGGCGCGAGCGATTGGACGTCGCGCGCGTGGGTCTGGTGGCTGGCAATGACCTGCAGGAGCACGTATTGGTCGATCACCCTCGGCGCGGCCATCCGCCGCCACGTCGCGGGCGTCGCGCCACTGCGCGTCGTCGATGGTGCCGAAGCCCAAGACTTCCCCGCCCAACTGACATGCCCCGACAGCGCATTCCCCGTCGGTGTCTTGAGACCGCTGTTGGAAACAAACCCGCATAGTGCTTCGGCGTCAGTCCTGAAGAAAACTTGAATACTCAGACCGCCGCATTCACGGCGGCTCTTGAGCCTGGACAGACTCATCGGCCCCTTGATGAGCGCGCGCAGCGTTGCCAGATCAGGGCTCGCCCAGACTGCGCGCGACGGCGAGTGCTTGGGCAGTGTAGCTGGACCTAACTCAATAACGATGAGATGAGCGGAAGCTGTCAACACAGCGCGCGACCTCCCTTTTACTGCTCGATCTTCAACGACGCAACAGAAAGCACCCGCGAGAAAGGAAGCCATTAATCTCGTCGCCCACTCCGCCGGCGAAATCCCCGAAACCCAGTGTCGCCGCGCAAGTCTACGGCGCCATCGGAGGCCATGGGCCGGTAGATGGACTGATTGAACCCTGCAACACACTTGTCTCATCTGAAACTCTGCGGCCCCCCGTTGCGCTGCAAGGAACAATGCATGCATAAATACACATATCTGCGCATATAAAAAGAACCACTCTTTCTTGGGCACGCGCGGCACGCGCGGCTGCCGCCAGCAAGCTGGTCATCATGTCACTGACAGCGTTGCAAGACTTCGCTTCTGGGGAAGCACCTACAAGACCGGGCTGCGCAGTCGGGCGAAGTGGATTGATGCGCTCGCGCGGCCTATGGCGACATCCCCTCTTGCCTCCGCGTATCCCACTGCACAAGTAGCGCGGCAATGTTCGTTCAACGAGAACGTGCCAAATACATGTTTGACCTGTCTGACGTCGGCATCGACGCTGGACTCCTCGCCGCGCACGCAGACGCCCCCCACGCGCCAGGCCGCGAGCAATTCCTCGGCAGCCTCTCACTCCAGGTCGCACGACGCGGAAAAAATCCACGGAAATGACCGCCTGGCCCGCGGAGCCCTGCAACGCGAGGCGAAGTCGAAAAATATGCCCTGTCGCCCCTGAATCAGCCTTTACAGCTTCTACGTGCACACGCACGTTGAGGCCGCAACGGCCTGCGCCGTGGACGGCAGCCCCACGCTGGAGCATCGACCGCCCACCCATGTCGCGCGTTCGGCCAAGAATTCAGGCGACACCTGTCCGGGTGGCTGACGACGTCCTGCTCGGTGAGCAAGTCGTCCTCTTTGACCGCCGCTGCTCGCCAGACTCCATCCAGCTGAGGCATAGATCGGGGCACTTCCGACCCTGGTCAATCCAGACCCGGGTCAGTCAGGCCCTGCAGAATCCTGCAAGATTCTGCGCCCAAGCCCCAGTCAATGCCAAGGGCCCTGCAAGATCCCGCAAGATCCCGCAAGATCCTGCACCCAAGCCCGGGCCAGTGCGACCCTGGCCCTGCGGGGCCCCGCAAGATCGGGCGCTCTGGCTGACCCCTTTCGCATTGACCCCCGCCTCAAGGCCCCCGAGTAGACGCGAACGATAGCCAAGCCGCCGGGGCGAAGGGCTTCTACTAGGTTCGTCCAATACCACCACCTTTGCCATATCATCGCCGAGACAAGGTTTGGCATTGCTGCCAAACTCGTCGGGGCCCAGGTCACACTGGTCGCCGATATCATCGCTGTCCAACACTTCCATGGCCATCGCAGGGACACCAGAACGTTCGCAGGAACGCAGGACGTCGGACAGCCCACGCGCACGCCAGTCTACGAAGTCACGCCGCTTGAACACGGGACCCTCATGCTTGCACGATACCGGCACAGCGTTCACACGCATTTCTGGAGCGAGGATCGACAAGAGGGCCTGCGAATGTTCAACAAGGATACACGAGTCCACGCTATGATGAATGATCGGTATCCCTAAATTCCTGATACCAATCGCGCAAGATTATGATGTCCTCTCTTGTTTGGCATCACTCTCTTCGATCGTTCGGCACCACCGTGAGAGCATCCCGTCGGCAGACGGCGGCAGCTCGCGACAGGGAAACGCAAAAGCCTCTTGGGCAAACGAAAACCGAGCTGCCACTCCACTCTAGAAAGAGGTGATGGAACGCGGGCACGCGCCGAGGTGGACCGCTGCACGCACCGAAGACAAACTCTCGGCAACTCTCGCGGCGCCTCCCTGAGCGCTGGGCCGCCGCGCGGGCCCCCGCTGTGCTGCGGCGCGCGGGCCTCCTGCACCGCTGCATTCCTCTCCTCGAAAAGCGCGTCGACGGCGACCCCGCCGGCGGCTGGCGCCCGCGCCACGCGCGCGCGGGCGCGATGTCACTGGGGCGCGCGCAATGCGCGCGGGCCTGCTCGCGCGCCGCGAACCGGCGTCCTCGCGCCCCTGAAATAGCACTCCCGAACTCAGCCCCAGCGATCGCGGATGGGGGCGACGCCTCGATTGCGTCGAACTACATGGCGTCGCGCCCACCCTGGCTTGGAGCCTCAAAAAAAAAACGCGCGCGCAAGACTGCGGCGCGCCCGGCCACTGCCGCGCGGGCGCGTCGCGCGCCGAAGAAGCCCACCGCCGCCGAGACTTGGCCGGGCACGCGCGACATTTTTTCGCGATGCAGGAGCCGCGCAACCGCGATGCGGAAACGACGCACCAACAATGCACGAACGCCGGGGCCACGCCCGAACCCCGCGCAGGACAGCGCGGACGACGAATGCTCGCGCGCGACGCAACGGAGCCCGCGCCGCCGATGGAGACGCCCAGGCCGCAGGCTCCCACGGCGGCTCGCCCAGGCGCGGCTGGGCGATGGTGGCGCCGACCTGTTGAAGGAGTCAATGCTGCCCCGTGACGGTAAACTGGCCGCGCCCAGCTCTGGGGGCGCGCGGTCAACGCGAACCGAGACGCAGAAGTAGCCGTTTGCAGGCGAGATGATGAGGCACGTGGAGGCACATTCCTCCGAAGCACAATTCCGCGCGGCAGCCTCAGCCTCTACCCTATCTGACCAAGAGCGCACGCGCCTGTCCGCGGGCGCGCCGCCGAACGCGGACAGGCCACATGCAATAACGTTGTTACGCGACGGAAGGCACGAGGAGCTGCCACAGTCTGCGCGGACCTGAAGGCCCAAGGCAATTAGCCATGCCTGCGGCGACTCTGTCCGCTGCAATCGCAGAAATCCCGAGGATACAGCATGCGAGCGGCACGACGCTTCCGACCGCGTTCTCGGCGCAGGCCGCGCGCTCGGTGACACTGAAGTCATCAACAAACTAGAACATCGGATAACATAGTAAGATAAGCCCACAAATATGCGGCCAAAGCGCGCACGCACGCGCGGGCCGCGCGCCGCGAGGAGCAAAAAAACACGAGGCGGCCCGCGCGCGCGGCTTGCCCGCCGGCACGCGGACCAGGCGCGGGCGCAATCTTTGCGTACGCGCACAACGCAGCTCAAATGCGCGCGCGCTTTCGATGACGTTGTGTGCCTACCCCAAACATGATTCCAAGATCGCCCCCCGAAGCCACCAAGATGGCCGATATGGAAACTACAAAAAATTGTTCGTCGTCTGGCGCTGAGATGGCCAAACACTCGCGCAAAGTGCGACAAACACCAAAAAACGAAAGAGCTGCCAGACATCGGTAAAGAAATCCCTGGGCGGGCGAATTGGTCTCTCGAAGATGCTGCCGAGAAACTAGAAAATGCTGAGACAACTTGTTCATCAAGACTAGTCGCTTTGCGATCGTTCGGCATCAGATGACCCTCGGAGCCCCTGAGAAGCCCTAAGATGGCCCACGAAGCCACCTGCGACGATCGAAAACGGGCCTTACAAGAGATGGCGTAGCGACCTCACGCCGAAGCTTACGCGGGCCGCCAGCGCAGCACGTTGCATTAGAGATGGGGGCGCTTACGCGCGACCTTACGGGGGCAGTTTACGCGCCAATGTCGGCGCAGACGACCCCGTTGTTTGGCGTCGCTCTTTGTCTGGCAAGCTTCCCTCATCAAGCCACGAGGAAAGACACCACGATGGAGTTTAGATTGACCTCAGGACCTGAGGACCCTCCCTGCCACCCTTGCGCTGCGTCCACGGGAGAACGAGGTAAATGTTCACCCCCAAGTACGACGAACGTGGAAACACCTTCAAGAGGCAATGTATTCGTAAAAACAGTAGCCCGCCAGGAACCAAGATCGGGCATGCGCTCTATCCAAGTCGGTGTCGTTTTGCATTCAAATCTGGACGATTCCGAAATATGTATTTACAGCGCTGCTGTCAATGCCATTACGATATCCGTATATGATGTTCCACTGGAAACATGACATGTTCGTGCGCGGGTCCCTTTCAGAAACCGGGGACCAAGCCCGTGCTCGTGCACGGAAGAAACATTGGAAAACAAGCATATGCACACGAAGCGAAAGAAGGGCTGGCGGAGTGGACGGAGCCCCGTCATGAATACGGTTTGTACCGTGATGGCCCGAACCTATATTTCAATTGAAAAAACGTCTCTTGCCCTACCCACACAACCGAGAGAAAGGGAAAAATAGAGAGGGAGAGAGTCTCGGAGGGAGGCAGGGCCGGAGTGCAATTGCAGACTGAATGTATGTACCTAACTTCCCATGCCTGCGAGAATCCGAACGACTGGCTGTACGAGTGCACCTGGGGTCGACGGAAAACCTGCGTGCAGGAGCTCCCTCAAGCGCATGTCCCGCTGGCGACCACAGTAGTTGGCCTCTGCGGGAACGGAAAGAGCTCGCGACACGCGCGTTGGCACGTGGGGCGGGGTGAGACTGGACAGGCTGACGAAAGCCCGTCACGCGTAAGTTCTGTAAAGCACAGAGGGTGGGGTGGGGAGAAGGCAGGGAAGCGAGTAAGGGGGAGGAAGAGAAATCGAGGGATAAGGAAAGAGAGAGAAAGAGAGAGAGAGAGCGAAAAAATAGAGAGCAAAATAAATAGAGAGCGAAGGGAAAGCGAGAGAGAGAGAGAGAGAGAAAAAAAGTCGGCGCGTGTGAAAGGCATTCTCGTTTGAGTCGTCGTCGTCGTCGCCTATCCTTCTCAAGCGTTCAAGCCAAAAGGAAACCGAAGAACGTCGCAATCGAGACGAAGGGAAACCCCTTCCCTTTGATCCCTCCCCCCGCCGGGGGGTGGCGGGGGATCGGGGCGTAGTCTGGGAGTTGTCACCCTCCCCAGGGGGGAGCACCCCTCCCTGGGAAAAGCTCTAGGGCAATCGCCGTCGTCATCGTCGTCCCCCTTCAGGGTCGGCGGCACCGGGTGTAAGGCCTTCGCAATAGGAAGCAAAAACAAGGAGAGGTAAGGGAGAGAAAGAAGGTGAGAAAGAGAAAGAGAGAGAGAGAGAGAGAGCATGAAACAAAAAAGAAACGGCGAGGGAAAGAGAGAGAGAGAGGGAGGGTGAGAGATTAGGAGGGGAGAGAGAGACTGGAAGAGGGATAACAAACAAAATCATCAAAGCAACAACAACAACAACAACAACAACAACAACAACAACCACAACAGCAGCAGCAACAGCAGCAGCAGCAACAACAAGCACAACAACCACCCAAGCCAATGCAAACGGAGCGTGAGGAAACGGGCCAGTAGCTGAAGGTACGTTTTCACTGATGTTTTCAAGAATATGATTTGCCGAAGCACAAGTGAATGATCCCCCCCCCGCCCACAGTTTTGATGATGTATCGACGTTTTTTTTCGCCCCGATTTATCACGCACTGCGAGGTAAATGCCCTGTCACCCCGCTCTCGCTTGAACAGACCCCTTAATTACCGCACTGTTTACTAACGCCCCGTTTGCAGGGGCTTGTAACAACAACAACAACAACAACAACAACAACAACAACAACAACAACAACAACAACAATCATTTTAAGACTGTTCGCCCTTATCTGCTCGAGTGTCCGATAACGCGTATTTCCCAAACCCTCGATACCCGCCCTCCACGCCTTCGATCGAACCCCTTTTGGGGGGTATACCTTTCTTCCCTGCAGGCCGGGCCCCGGCAAGCGGCGGGGCGGCCGCGGAACGTCGGCCTGGCCAGCGGCAGCGCTGATCGGCGGGGCGAACGCGGACCGTCGACCCGACCCCAAGAGGGACGGACAGGGGACCGACCACCACGACGACGACGACGACGACGACGACGACGACGACGACGACGACGACGACGGCGACGACGACGACGACGACGACGACGACGACGACGACGACGACGACGGCGGCGACGACGACGACGACGACGAGCGAAAGCGAGAGCGAGAGAGAACGACAGCAGGGCCACGAAGGACACGTAGTAGGCCACGAAGGGCGACAGCGGGGACACGAAGAGGGCATGCATATGGAGCCACAACGGGCGCGAAGAGCGCGAACGAGCCGGGGCCACGAAGAGCGCGAACGAGCCGGGGCCACGAAGGGCAGATAATGCGGGGCCACAGAAGGCAACGATGGGGCCACTGAGGGTAGCACCTGGGCCACGTAGGACACTGAGGGAGCCACAAACGGCGACAGCGGGGCCACGAAGGGCATGCACATGGGGCCACAACGGGCGCGAAGTCCACGAAGGGCATTCGTAGATTGGGCCTCCGAAGGCAAGGACGGGGCCACTGAGAGAAGCAACGGGGCCACGAAGGGCAGCGAGGGGACCACGCAGGGCTGCAACGGGGCCACGAAGAGGGCATGCATATGGAGCCACAACGGGCGCGAACGTGCGGGGTCCACGAAAGGCATTCGTATATTGGGCCGCCGAAGGCAAGGACGGGGCCACTGAGGGCAGCAACGGGGCCACGAAGGGCAGCGAGGGGGCCACGCAGGGCTGCAACGGGGCCCCGAAGGGCATGCATGTGGGGCCACCACAGGCGCGAACGAGCGGGGGCAACGAAGGACATACACATATGGGGCCACGAAGGGCAGCGAGGGGGCCACGAAGGGCCGCAACGGGGCCACGAAGGGCCGCAACGGGGCCACGAAAGGCAGCGAGGGGGCCACGAAGGGCTGCAACGGGGCCGCGAAACAAAGCGAGGGGACCAAGAAGGGCTGCAACGGGGCCACGAAGGACAGCGAGGAGGCCACGAGGGGCTGCAACGGGACCACGAAGGGCAGCAAGGGGGCCACGAAGGGCTGCGATGGGGCCACGAAACAAAGCGAGGGGACCACGAAGGGCTGCTACGGGGCAACGAAGGGCAGCGAGATCCCGATTCCTAGGTGATATGCGAGGGAGTCCTAAGCGTGAGCGCAACTCCTGAGCGCCTGGGTGTCGGGAGCGCGGCGCTAAAGTAAATTGCAAAAAATTCTAACGCAAGGGGGCTATTCTTCAGTAGATTGCAAGCAAGTCTCCAGCGAGAGCGCGAATCCAGAGCGTCGGGAAACGGATTCCTGCAAAATTGCAAGGAAGTCCCAAGCGAAAGCGCGAATCCTGAATAAAATGCGAGTAAGTCTCGGGCGGGAGCGGGGGCCCTGGCTAAATTGTGAGGAATTTTCGATGTTTTTTTTGCGTTCTGGCCTTTTCGCTTCCGGACGCTCCAAGAGGGCCCAAGAGGCCTTCAAGACTGCTCCAAGACGGCCCACGAGGCTCCCAAGACGGCCCCGGAGCGGCCCAAGAGCGCCCCCCAGACGGCCCAAGTGCTGCCCAAGGCGGACCAAGAGGCCCCAAGACGGGCCCAAGAGGGGCTCAAGAAGGGAACCGAGAACTGAAAAATCGAGCCCTCCGCCCCAGAAGGCGCCCAGGACCCCGAAAGAGGCCCCAAGAGACTCTCCAAGACACCCCCAAGACGCCCCAATAAGCTCCCGTGAGGCCCCAAGAGGACCAACAACGTCAGGCCCCAGGCCCCAAGAGGACCAACAAATACCGCCAAGAGCCCGCCGAAAGCCCCCCAAGAGACCGTCACGAGAGCTCAGGAGGCCCCCTGGAAGCCTCCCGAGTTCTCCAAGAGGCCTAAAAAGAGGCGCCAAGAGGCCCCAAACGGCCCCACCGAGGCTCCAGGAGGCCACGAACGCGCAAGCAAACGCCTGCGATGGCACAATACGGGCCGGCGGAATGAGCGAAGCGATTAATGAAATGCGAGTAAGTCTCGGGCGGGAGCGGGGGCCCTGGCTAAATTGTGAGGAAGTCTCAGGCGGGAGCCGTTGTTGTTGTTGTTGTTGTTGCTGCTGCAACCCGGGGGCCAGGTGCGCAGTTTGAGCATCAAAATTTTTTCTGACAAAACACAGAATGCGAGCGCCCAGGGGTGCACTTTGATTAGGGAAAAAACAGCATGCACAAGTGAGGGGGGTCAACCATCATTATTCTTCAGAAATGCGAATTCAACAGCAACAACAACAACAATCATTTTACCCGAACGCGTGGTGTTCTCCCCAGTGCCAGGGTTTTCATACGACACCAGGCAATACCCCCACTTCGTGGGGGGGCATTACAAGCTCTACCAAATATCCAAACGACTCTTCGCGACCACCCAAACCCAGCTTCCCGCCCTATGACGTTGGGACACTTCACTTCGTGGCGTGCGGACGACCGTGGCTACTACACTGGCGCGGGGTACACACCCACAGAACTTGGTCATTTATTCGGGGCGCGCATGTGGCCAGCATGGTGCAATTGTGCCATACAATACATAATACAGAGAGACTTCGGTTTTTTTGGAGATTTCGGCGTGCGCGCGCAAAAAACGAATGTGTCCCGCATGGTATTATTTGACAGGGATGATGGCCCTGGCAGGTGCGCAACCGTTGTCGCAGAAGTTCGAAAAAGTTGCTCGCAAAAGCCCGTTTGACAGAAATGTTTAAAAAGTGTTGGGTTTCCTACGAATCCGCAAGAGCGCGCGGGATGAGATTTTGACATTTTTTTGTTGAAAAACCATTGGTTTTTTGATGTTTTTATGTTAAAATCGCTCCGAACACTAAGCTTTTGGAAGGATTTCGTCTTGCGCGCGCGAATGTCCACTTTACCTTATTTTTTGCAAGGGATTCTTGAAATTTGATTATATTAGAACAAGAAATGTCATTTTATAGTGTTTTTTGCAAGGGAAAGCGGGGGGGAACAAAACAACCGGATCTTGATCACATCGAATTACCTGAGGCTTCCTCACGAAAATGATGAAAATGTAGCTGCGGCCTAGGCGGCGCAGGGGGGGCGTGCACCAGGGGTCCCAACAATAATTATTCTTTAGAATTAATAATGTTCAACAACAACAACAACAACAAACAAATCATTTTACCCGAACGCTCAGTGTTCTCACCAGTGCCAGGGTTTTCATGCGACGCGAGACAATACCCCCACTTCGTGGGGGGGCAGTTCAAGCTCTACCAAATATCCAAACGACTCTTCGCGACCACCCAAACCCAGCTTCCCGCCCTATGACGTTGGGACACTTCACTTCGTGGCGTGCGGACGACCGTGGCTACTACACTGGCGTGGGGTACACACCCACAGAACTTGGTCACTTATTCGGGGCGCGCGTGTGCCCAGCATCCTGCAATTGTGACATACAATACATGACACAGACAGACAGAGAGAGAGACAGAGAGCAGACAGAGAGAGAGACAGAGAGAGCGGAGTTGGCCACATTTTTGGGGCAAGTTCCTGAGATCGTCGTGTTTTTTGTTGGTCTTGCGCGCGCGAATGTCCACTTTACTTTTTTTTGCAAGGGATGTTGAAATTTGATTATGTAAGAACAAGAAAAAGTAGCTCGCGCGAGCTTATGTAACATAAATGTTGAAAAACCATTGGTTTTGT